TTTTATAGGTATGCTTTTATAGACACTTTCATTGCGAACACAGTGATACCAAATTTAAATACGTGCGCCTTCAATTATTGACAGGACAGTCAAAAGAGCGTACACTTTTTCGGTCTTACCGCATAGGCGCGCGAAGTGCCGAAAGCATCTGGGGTATTGATTTTTTTTGAGCGCCGAGAGCGCGAAAGTGTTAAGAAGTGACTGCTATGTGAGGGACAGTCATTAAATACTAATGGGTCTGCTTAGGAATCTCTGCAGATTGGCAAAAGGCAGCAGCAGCACCTCACATAACTCTTACTTTCTCCACATACTGTAGTTCCTCATGGTGTAAAACACCAAGCACAGGGAGAAAGGGGGCTGCAGCTGAACCATTTACTGCTCCTTCCTAAACTTTTTTTTTGCAGCTATTGAACATATTGTGGCTTGTTGAGCTTGAACCTGTTGCTCCTCATTTGTGTGACTTGTTCGGATCGACATCCCCCAAATTGTTCAGTACAGTATTTTAAAGATTTCGATGAGATCTGCCTTGTCATGCCTGGTTTGCAGTGTTGTTAGCCCTGTGGTCCTCAACCGTTCCTGATACATGGAGATGACTAAACGCTGGTATGATTTTTGCTGCCCGGTGTTGGAACACCGGGCATTACAACCGGTGTTGCAACACCGGAATTACTCTACAAATGTAAAGTATTCATGGGCCATCACTCTCTGTGCCATTCAGAAGGCACCAGGTTTTGGCTTTTGGTCCCTGGTAGACAAAAAGAACTCCGCACTGATGACACTCAAGTAGCATGCCATTTGTAAGATAGCTTCAAGGAGCCTCTGGGGCTCACCCAGATACTGGCATTTCATTAAATTCAGTGTTTTCTATTTCAGAAAAATGTGTGGCCTATATTGTATTTGTGCAATACTGTATGGTATAAGCTTAAAGCTCTTACATTATAGACAGAATACACACCATTTTGTAACTGCTGCCAAAAAGAACAAATTAAAGTCTTACCTGGATGGTGACTAGGAAGAGCAAGCACACATGACGACACAGGTATCGAGGGAAGCTACATAGCGGATCGATATATAATGACCAGAATCTGAAATACCAGAAAACATATTCCTTCTCATAATCTAAACAAATGCATCAAACATCTACAATAAATGTCTCCTCATTCCAAGAGAGTGGGAGATGAGGTAAGCAAATTAGTACTGTAAGAGCTCACTAATCCGTAGTGAGTTCGAACACCAATTCTCGAGTTCTTGACTCTTTAATTTGGTTAGAAATTTTGGGTTATTGGAGTTTTCTATCAGGTTACTGAACTAAATGTGGCGACCTATATTCATATATTCATTTTAGGGTCCCGGTAGTACAGTTGGGTTTGTTCCCAACTCACAATTAGGTATTCTGGGTTCAAATTCTGAGCAGGACAGAAATGGTTAAGTGGTTTCCTATCACCTAATGAGTCTGTTCACCTAGCAGTAAATACGTACCCAGGAGTTAGTCAGCTTGTTGTGAGGCTGCATCCTAGGCTGGTCAGTTTTTCGACCTTGGGGGGAGGAACCTCAATATAAGCCTAACATATATAATATACACTGGCTGCCTGTCCCCCAACAATGAATTATATTATAACCAAAGTTACATTAAAACAATGCATTAATAACAAAAATAAAGAACTACAATATCTAATAAAATATTATAACAATAATTGATTGAAGAAAATTGTGTACAGGCCGTAGAGCACATTTTTCATCTGGTGGCTTATGTATCATGCCCTGGATAGACTCATCCCAACCTCACGAGCCTGCCCACCTGTGTGTTCTCCACTCGTGTAATTCTACAGCATGCCACTTTGTTACTGAAAGATATTTCTTAATTCTTTTTTTCTTTTATTTAACCTGTAACTGTGTAGACTAAAATTATGCATTATGTACTAATATGCAAGATAAAAAAAAATTCCAAACTTGTTTCTTATAATGTTGTTAATTAGCATCCAGGAAGCATGAAAATCAATGTCAAAAGTCTCTACCTATCGTGGTTTAGATGTAGTAGCCTGGTGAAGTTGTGTGGATTCGGTAGCTGGATGCCGAGACGGATGGCTCAGGTTCTTACACGGCAATAACTCCATCCATTTACAGGTATTTTCAGTGCTTCTCACTTTATGTAACTTTTTTTAGTGCTCACATGTTGTACTGACGTGTTAATAGGAGGTATTCATTATGTATAATTTTGGAAACATACATATGTACAGATATATATGTACTGGTATATATTATTGAATGTGACAGAAAGGGTGACATCAATGATTCTAGCACGAATCTTCTCTATTTTCCTTACACTTTTTTCACTTGAGAAGGAAGTTGAAAAAATGAACTCTCCAAAGTTCATTTTTACAGTTTTATTTGGCCTGATGCTAAGAGTTGCATTTCACTAACCCTTGTTAACATTGTCAAAGGAAGAGTAGGAATAATTACAAGTTGACTGATGAAGATGAAGCCACCCAAATGGTGGCACGGGCACGAATAGCCCATAAGGATTACAAGTTGTCTTGCTGCCTCATATATAACCGAGGATGAGGTGAAGGGGATGAAGTGAATGGGATGAAGTGAAGAAGCACCTCGCTTACAGCTCCACTGTATCTTGTCACTTGCACCACAAAGACATATATTTGTTATACTGTACTACAAACAGCAGATCCCAATATTACTATTTTCATCACAATAGTTGCTTATGGATGCAAATTACCTTCAACCAACATGAAAACAATTTTTCCACTATGACCACCTACAAAGCTGCAGTACTATCTTACACTATAATAAAATTATTTGTTTTGTCAGGAGACAGGCAGCCTGTGTGTATGTATGTATGTTAGGCTTGTATTAAGATCCCCACCCCCCAGGTCAAACTACTGACCTTTCCCAGGATGCCACTGACAAACTCCTGGGTGCCTATTTACTGTTAGGTGAACAGAGCCATTAGGTGAAAGGAAACGTGCCCAACCATTTATGTCCTAGCTGGGATTCGAATGCAGGATTGTCGACTGTGAGTTAAGAATCAAGCCAACTGTACTACACAGACCCTTAAACCCTAAGATGTGGTCACAACTAGCATGGGCAAGCTAGCAACAAGGTCACTATAGATAAGAGCTGCCTTGCATAGGCCAATAGAACTTCTGCAGTTTCCTTTTTTCTTATCTTCTTATTTTCCTATGTTATCACTACATTCCCAGCAGAAATGGACATTGTTTAATCAAATATGCTCTAATTGGCAATTAGAAGTGTAATACTTATGAGTGCAGTTTAGTACCAGTCACCATCCTCACACTCAGGTGGCAAGTTGATAAACTTTAAATGTAAAGTGTTCATAAGCCATCGCTCCCTGCGCCTCTCTGAGGGGACCAGGTTCTGGCTCGTGGTCCCCAGTAGACCAACAAAACTCCGCGATTGATGACACCTAGTACTTTAGTACTTATTCAGTGTGATAGTTTCAGGGAGCTGACGGGGCTCCCTACAGAAATTTCTAATTCAAAGTTCTTGCAATTCAGCATAATGTCAATGATCCCTAGCACGGCCACCTTGCACATTTAATTGCCGGATGGTGATGTGCCAGACATTGTTAATCTCTTTTTACTAAGGCCTGGCAATGAAACTAAGACACTCAGGATTTTTTCCAATATGAAAAGCAATCATCAGAGGTTTCTAGTTTCGAATATGATATGATAGTCCTCCATGTTTCTCCCTCTCCATCACCCTCCCATTGATATCCCTCCGTGTGTCTCTCATATTCCTCACCCCTGCATGTGTGCGTGCACACGCACACACATACATAGTAATGTTACATAGAACATTCAATACTATAAATTAGATAAATAAGTGTACTTTTATGTAAGAAATCTTCCTACCTGAAATCAATGCAGTGAGCCACAGCCAAGGTGAGAGGGAAGTGGAAACACAGCAGCTGCAATAAAGAAAACCTTACTGCAGGGAAATATAGTATACAATACTTTAATAATTAACAGTGCATTCAACTTGTCAATACACGCAGTACCGTCAAGTATGGCTTTCTAGAACCCTTAACTACAATACAGTTTTCATCATGCTGTTGTTATAGCTATCTACTGTCAAAATATCAGTTGTTACTTGCATTAAAACAGAATTTCCTATGAAGAACACTGTACAAATCGGTCACATTCCGCATACACTGATGTAAAACAAAGGCATTGGTGAAAACATAAACCTAAGAATCCTCTATGTCAGTCTACCCTATTACTTTATCTATTTAATTTTTATTTATTTTATAAATACAAAAGTTCTTACATTCTTGTAGAGCCATTAGCATGCATAGCACTTCGGGCAGGTCCTTAATTTTAATATTCCCCGGAATATGACCTGCCAAACCATTTAACAACCATGTACCCATTTTACTGTTGGGTGAACAGAGGCTACAGTTAAGGATTGATGCCCAGTAAATCCTCCCCGGCCAGGATACGAACCCAGGACAAAGGGTTCGCAAAACGCCAGGCGAACCAGGCGTCTTAGTGATAAGACCAGAGGTCTTATCACTAAGCCACAGGGACTGCATTTTCCCGAATAGATGACAGGAATGGCAAGGAGTGTTCAAGACAGACACTGTGTAATAGTGATCAATCTGCAATCCTAGCTATCTGTCCATTCAACAGTTTGATTTGTAACTACATGAAAAGGAAAGAGGCACTAAAGTGACAAAGAATGAAGGACAGAATGAAATTGTAACAATCATATACAAGAAAAAAATCAAAATTATCTTTGAAAATTACAGTAGAGTATTTTATATTTTTAAATACAACTCGGATTAACAGGCAATTACTCGGTGCACATGTATCAACCTCAGAGAGTAAAGCTATTGATGCTTGGATAAATACAACTAAATAAAGACTAACTTTAAACATTTATATACTAGTCTAACAGCACATGCATAACATCCTCATACACGAAAACATTCAAAGTAAGTTTTAAAGAACAAGTAAAGGCTGTTGGAGAAATGTATTATTAATTCTTCCTAAGTAAGAAAAGCTACATACCCAAAACTGTTTGGATATGGAATGAAAATGAAAGAAAAGAAATCTGCTAACTAGAAAATGTAATTTTCTTTGAGTTATCCCATTCTACTGCCCCATGAGGTAAGATCCATTATACATGAGGTGTGTGAACATTGAGGCAGCATGACATTCTGGCACCAGGACCCCATATTGTTCAAGCATCCCTGTTGGGTCACCCAAGGTGTCATACCATCCAAACCACACGTCAGAAACTGAAGAAACGATGATGTTTTGGTCCATCCTGGACCATTATCAAGTCGTGTAATGGAAAGAGATAGGCAGTATAAGGGAGGAGAGTATGATTAAAGGTGGGAGGAATAAAAGAGAAAAATAAAGATAATAAGATAGATGGAATAAGAGAAAATGTAAAAATAAAGATAAAGAAAATCAGGCAAAGTAAAGGTTAAAGGGAAGAAAAAAGGAAGAATAGGACCAAGGGGTTATAAGAAAAAGTAAAAAAATAGAAAAGAAAACTGCAAGAAGCCAAAGATGAAGAAAAATCTAGTAACAAAAGAGATAGACAGGAAAGAGAGCCTAGAAACTGCAAAGTTAAGTAGATCACGTTTGTTAAGAAGGTTACATAAAGTACTGGAGGGTTAAAAAATAAAATATAAGATACTCTTATGAACCAGCAGCCACTGTGTTATAGTGTTCAGTTCCAAAATACAGTGGTGTACAGTTGAGGGAAGGGGTAAGGGTGGGGCACAGACCAAAGAAAGAGTAAGGAATCAATGAGACAGACAGATGTACTACTAAAGGGCAAGGGCCCACCAACAAGTGGGAAAAGACAGTATACAAGATGATGGAATTCATAGCCAAGAAATGTTCAGGTGCCACAGGAAGGTACATCCCACTTAGGCAGGAAATTGATGATGCCGTTTCCTTTATTCTTATAAGCAAAGCTAATCCATGGATCAATAGGCAGTGCAGGAAAGAGAGAAAGAAACAAGACCAGAAAGGCACGGGAAAGTGAAGAACTGGACATGAAGGACAATAGACAGGCAAGCACTGCAGAGGGCCATAAATGAGTATGCCAGAGAGAACAGTTGAAAAATGACAGCAAAAGCAATGGACTGGCCAAAGCAGTTGCACAGCCACATTTGGAGGAAAACAACAACAAGAGATTGCATTAAGGTCCCTTGACACACTATGCATGAACTTTGTTCAGTGTCATTTGTGAGCACAAGAGTAGCTTAGCTTTTTGTGTATAGCTACATCTTTCACAGTCCTGGCTGGAGGACCATGATGGACCATTCCAGGGATGGAGGCAGTTGCTGTTGTGCACATGATCTAGTTGGAGAGCTCCTAATTTGTGTGCATAAGTTTCAGCTTTTGCTTATTACGGTAATAGGCTTAGGACACTGGCGATCCTACACTTATCTCAAGCCAGTGTTTTGGCCAAGGAAATTATTTACCATTAAATACTGCAGGGCAGTGATGCAATATAGTTTCATTCCTGAATGCTTCTTAGATATTTAACAAAGTAACACGCAAAATTCTAAGATAATTACTTATCAGGGAAAGAACGTGACTGTTGAATTGAATTCAAGGGTCTTTTGGTTAAAGATGTATCAGTTTTGAGTCCTCTCTTGTTCTTAGTATATTTGGGCCTATTACCAAAAATAATTGGGAATAATTTGTAATGGGGGATATAATATCAACCAGGCTGTGATTAATGTCAGGCTGCGAGCAGCCACGTTCAAACAGCCTGGATGACGAGAAGACCAACCGGGAGGCCTGGTTGGAGACCGAGCCGCGGGGCTGTTGAACCCCGGAAGCTACACAAGGTAGACACAAGGGGGTTGGATGTCATGTTGACAACAAGTACAGTACAAGCATATTCAAACTTTCACTCTCCAACTGGGCCACAAAATGTCTGACTAAAATTCACAGCAGTTTACAAGTTTAGCACTCAAAAAGGCATTTAGTGCATGCATTAGTCTAAGACAAAATGCCTAACTTTTTTTGACACAAAGTGCCTTAAGAGTTGGGGATGATACGGTTATGAAGGATTTATCATCTGGATACATGGTCTGGTGTGCAGCTCTTCAATAGTCCATGTCATGGTTTATAGAGCTACGACCATGGGATCTTAACAACTGGAGCCTGAACAAGCAGTGGAGCAGAAGGGCCTGACATAATTAGTTTCTCTCCCAGTACTCACAATTATTTCTTTCATGGCTTCCTTAGAAGCAATAATTCACTGAAGAAAGTTATCTTTTTACAGCAGAGGAGTTGATCAGCCTGTCTGGACAATGCGTATATTTTGGTCAATTATTTGGTGACCATATTCAACACTTCCCAACAAATGTTAACATATTGTACAAAATAATCATAATAGAACTTTTAACAAAAATTTTACAATTTATCTATTTGGATAAAGAAAAAGATTCAAATCATCTGGAAACGCTATTGATATGGTACATTTAACTTGGGCATAGACATGTTTGGATGCAATGTAAGTTAACTAAATTGCCAGTTAAATTGTGAAGATGGCAATTCATTTTGAATTCTTTTTTTCTAAGCCAGTCTTATAAAACTAGCGTTGAATGTAATGAAACACCAATTTCTCAGTGAGCCACGAAGGCTCTCTGAAGCAATTACACCGATTCAGGCAATAACACAACGGCCTGCCTCCCTTACCCCCTCCAAATGAGCAGGGAAGGTGGGGACAAACTAGCTCGTCTTAGCTTTAATTTATTTTTCATAGTTGGGAAGAGTTCTTTTGGCTATTTTGAGGCTGTGGTTTTGGTTTTAACCAATGCATTGATCTGTTTTGTTTTGCCGACTTTCTGGGTGCCTTCCCCTGGTAGTGGCAAGAGCACCTCTCTGAGGGGGCCAGGTACTGGCTCGTGGTCCCCGGTAGGCCAATGAGAACTCTGCGACCGATTGCACTTAGTAGTATGGCACTGAATCAGTGTAATAGCTTCAGGGAGCATCAAGGGGCTGCCCTCAGAAAAAGTTGTGTACAACAACAGACACTTACCTTTGTCTGAAGATATATTCACGGGGTGATTACTTTCAACATTAAAAGCTGCAATTCACTGAACAGTAAGACAAAAATCTCTTGATTTGCTAACAAATACAGAAATATGAAAGTACCAAATCAAAGTGAAATTTCTATATTATTTTGTAGTAAAAATAAAATTTCTCTCACCTTTCATTTGATTTAAAGTAGGTAAAAATTAGTGAAAAGCTCTCCCTATGGAGTCTGTTGTCAACTTCAAGTATTGCACCAAGCACATAACTCTCATGGATTGGAACTTCCTATCTACCTTCTGGTGGTGTTACACAACAGCTCTAGGGCCACATACCTGGCTCTTCCACAGTTTCATTACTATCACTATTTTATCATAACCCTCATGTTCTTGACAACTCCTTTAAGAGTAATAATCATTTTGTTGCAATGCAAAAAATACCGTTATTTCCATTACAGACTTCATTCCCTTATTTTCATCCCTTATTCAGAAATATAATGTTTGCACCAGACACTCATAACGTTCCCTGGTTGTGCATCTTTGCAGACATGTGCATATCGTCAAAATGCGGGGTCAAATTTTCAAATTAATGTATATGTTAAACTTGACAAAAATTATAAACATTTAAACCATAACTCAATTTCCATATATTTTATGTAAAGGGCTTAAAATATTCTGCAAGGTTTTAATAAACCCTTTTAAATAGGTATAAGTATTTGTTTGTTTAAATTACAGTACGAAGAGAGAATTAATGAATAGATGAGGGCATCATTGCACACTACACCGTATTCTTAACACTACTACACTTGTATCAGCCCACTCCACATCACACTCCTCCCAGCCCACTTCATAACATCACACTCCTTCCAGCCCATTCTACACTTCTTTTAGTCCAGTCCAAAACACCACACTTCTCCCAGCCCAGTACACACCACCGCACTTTGTGCACATCACAACCCAACACACTCCTTCCATCCCACTCAACACCACTGCGCTTCTCCCAGGTTGCTCCACAACATGTTTCATATCCCAGATTACACCTAACACAAGTAGTTACCTATTGTTATATACTGTATGTTTTTTGTTTATTCGTAAGTAATTTTGAGATTTTGTGAGATATTACAGAAAGCAAGTCATCTGTTTGCACCAACTTAACATAGTTAAAAATAGATATTTTTTTAGTTCTGAGAAAACTTGAAACATTATACGAAATGTAATTTTTACCTGGAAAAATCCATATGCGTATGTCAAGGAGCCCGGAAGGTAACTTCTATTTACGAAGGTCCCCCAGGCAAAGACGACGCCTATGTGATCTTCAATCACTTCCCCTACAAACCATGGACCTGCACATATTATCAATTCAAAGAATAAGGTTAATAACAAAATAATAACAAAACATAGGCCAACTAACATTAGACCAACAAGATGGCAATGCTCTTAAAATTTTCCCAAGTAATTCAAATGCTTTTAAACCCAAATAAAGATCATTCAGAAGCAGCACACACATCCAGCATCAGCCAGAATATTTCCCAAGATGATTTGGCTAAAACAAAACAACACACACCTTCATTTAATTGCATCAAGAAACAACAATGTCTAAAAAATAAAATTACTGTGCTTTAAAAGCAAAATCAAGGCAAAGAAGAAAAAATGAAGCATGAAAACACCAGTAAAAAAAAAAAAAATAAAAAAGAGAAAAAGAACAGTGTTAAAATGGACATGGGGTTAAAATGCACATAGGGCTAAAGTACACATGGGGTCTAAAATACACAAGTAGGAAAAAAAAAATAAAGAAAAAAGCCACAAGGAAAAATAAGGTAGTGCACGAGTAGCATTTACGAACGTGGTCAATGTGTTTGTTGATAGAAATGAAGTGAGAGAATGATGGTTAGTGTGAAGAACTTAGGTGTACACTACAGAACACAGGACATTAAATGGGAGTTATTAAGAAGTGTTAAGGCATTTGATCAAGAATGTGGAATCCTAGCCTTAAACACTTGAAGGTGTGTGGGAGGGGGGGGGGGGAAGAGGTACAGCAGTGATAATCAATAAAAGAATATTTCTAGACTGGAGATTAGAATGTGAAATGTGTTTGGGTAGAAAATATTTTAGGAGAACTAGAGTGAATTAATTTAATGTTTTTTACATCATGACTCTTACAATCATATTCTACTTAACCCCACTTTTAATTAATAATAAATACATCTCCCATGGCAGTAGCTCTCAGGACAATCAATTAATATCATTCTACCACACAAACAGTTAAACTTACCAAGAGGCAAATATATGGCAGTAATCACTAACGGCCAGAAGAGTCTATCTACAGATACCAAAACCCACAACTTGCGCAGCCATGTGTTGAAGATCTTCCACCGAGGACGTGGACGGAACATGCGCCGTTCTGAAAAACAAAAATGGGGGCCAGCTAAATTTATTACAGTATCTCTTTTCTTATGTAAGTTTTTAAAATACTGTCAGAATAAAATGCAACCTTTAATAATACAGTACAAGCTTTGAGAATAATTATCAGTTTTCAGCCATAATCAAATGCTGAGGAGGACGAGGAGACAGGAACCACACTGATACATACATACCTAGTACCAAGTGATGAATGTAGCGCAGGACACACAGAGGAACCACACAGATGCATACCATAATGCCAAACAGGAACTGAAACTGAAAAAAATTTCACATTACCTCTAAACAACAATCAAGTGTGTGTACAGTACACAGCTCTTGCCATCCCTGCGACACTGCTCTAGGTCAACAGCTGAATTTACCATCACCACCTGTGCCTTCTGCCATTTCTATACAATGTGATAATATAGGAGATGACTCATTTTCTGGATTCAGTGACATAAGTTCAGATACAAGTAGCACTGATAAGCTAAGTGTTGATGACCAAACCACAACTCGGAAGATGGAAAAGCGATGACATTTCGGTCTATACCATCAAAGCGACACAGGTTCAAATTCTTTTTTGTGATATGTGATTGTGAAACCGGAATAGTAATTGATACAGTATGTTATTATACAGTATTCCTGTACCAACGTTTACAGATCAGCTCAAGATCTGCACCGGTTTTCTAGTAGTGTTGTGAAGACACTCACGGAACCATTGCTGAATGAGGAGCATATCCTGTACACAATTATTTTACCAGCCCTTGCTATGTTCTTCAAATGAATATCTTCAGCTGCAAATGTGAGGCTGGCTCTCAGAACTGGCTTTAGAAACCTGTGTAAGGAATCATTTAGAACCTTGTCAAGCACAAGATGAAGCTGGAGAAGTTTCAAAGGTATGAGGAAAGGCTGCATGAATTGCATCTTCCATAACATTCACCACAACAGCATTGAAGTCGTACAAAGAAGTTACAAAGTTATCCTGTAATTCAGTGCAAACACAAGCAGATCCACCTTGGGAATGCCACTCAGTGAATGTGAACTGCACCGAGGACTAAATCCCGAGAAGCCAGAAAAGAAGCTATGGCCAGCACACAATGCTATGATAGGAGGGACTTAGCAGCTACCCCCTCGGGCCTCGGGGCCTCGTAGCCTGGTGGATAGCGCGCAGGACTCGTAATTCTGTGGCGCGGGTTCGATTCCCGCACGAGGCAGAAACAAATGGGCAAAGTTTCTTTCACCCTGAATGCCCCTGTTACCTAGCAGTAAATAGGTACCTGGGAGTTAGTCAGCTGTCACGGGCTGCTTCCTGGGGGTGGAGGCATGGTCGAGGACCGGGCCGCGGGGACACTAAAAAAAAGCCCCGAAATCATCTCAAGATAACCTCAAGATAACCTTACCCCACCCCCTCCACCAAAAGAGACAGAACACCACCAATGCCTAGGCAGAGACAAATATCTGAGCCTCTCGGTGAAGGGATGTAGACAAAGCAAACAAAATCTCTGACATTTTGTCAAACATAAATGCGAGTTGATCAATATCAGACTAAAGCCCCTGGCTAGTGTAACAGAGGGTGGAAGGAAGTCTCAGCCACACCTTGTAAATCTAATGAGCCTTTTGCATTCTATAAAGTACACTTTTGGTACTGTACTTACAAACATGGAGATGTTGGACATAAGAAGCGCTCTTGGCCAGAAATGAAAAGACGGTTGAGAATCATCCAGAGAAAATGGCTGCACGAGTGTTGTCTCTTGACCGCTGGAATCTCTTGCAAACACCTGGTAAGAACATAACCATAATTATATCACTGGAGTAGGATAAATAACAGCAAATTTTGTTAGAACCTATACATGTAGTATAAGCGTGTACAATGAAATAAATAATGAAAACAAACATATGTTTGGATACAGAAGGATTTGTAAATACTGTACAACAAGCTGATAAAATATTGTAATCATAAATGAAAGCAATGTTAGAGCTTAAGCCATTGTGCTCAGCAGTAACTGGGGACCAAGACATAAAGGAAATGACGTATAATCTGAGGGAAAACTTGCCTAGCAAAAGGCCATAATTCCACAATATAATGCGTATATTAATTAGTAACATGTTCATATTAAAATATTGCATTGAGGAAACAAGGTCTACATTTGTCATATCATATTAGTCAGTCATATCAGAAGACTAAGCTTCTGATATGACTGACACTTCATATTAGTATTTCTCTTCCTGCTTTGCACGTCGATTGTATATATATAATCTGTTGTTAGTTATAGTAAGATATTTCACATTATAGTGACCAGTCATATTTGTCAATTATTCTTTTTGCTAGTGTTACAAGAGCTGCCAGAATACAATTGATTTAAAATGTACAATTCCTGTGTAACAAGTGAGTCTAAGTGTGTGGTTAAGCTGTTAACTCCAATATGTATGCCACCGACATATATATTATGAACAGTGTTGTTATAAGGTAGGTGTAGTTCAGGGGATAACAGAATAAATATCCTACTGTAAAAAAAGCCTTTCCCCTCATACAGTGCAATTTCAATTCTGTGAGCTTTGTTTGAAGAGGGGGATGCACAGATTTGCTTAGGAAACAGGGCCAGAAGTTCACAGATCTTGATGTCCATCATGATAGATTGAAATAAAAATTTTGCTCAGTGAAATTAGCTCATACAACATGAGAAATATTAAGGTATGAATAGCAGCTCTCTTACTATAACTCCAATCATGTTTTTCGTGATTTCCATACACGAAGCTACATTAGAAGAGAGACATTGAGCATATTTAAATGCAAATTCTATGGTTCATTTTCTTTTCCAGTTGCAGCAGTTTATTACTAAAATATGGGCCCTTCCTTCTTTCAAAATGAGATTTCTAGGCTGGGACATTGAAAATATGAGAGATGTGATGAAATCTCTTTACAGACAGGTTCTCGTGGAAGTTTTTCTTCATATGATAGGCTAAAATTAAAAATTTATTCCGTGAAATTAACCCATCGAGCATGGTAAATATTAGGATATGAATGGTAACTCTCTTAATATGACTCCAATCATGTTTCTAATGATTTTAATTGATGAAAGTAACATCAGAAGAGACTGATGAAACACTTACCACAACACCAGTCTCCGTGGTGTAGTGGTAAGACACTCGCCTGGTGTTCTGCGAGCGCTTTGTCATGGGTTCGTATCCTGGCCGGGGAGGATTTACTGGGCGCAAATCCTTAACTGTAGCCTCTGTTTAACTCAACAGTAAAATGAGTACTTGGTTGTAAAAACGATTCTTCGCGGCGAAGATCGTATTCCAGGGACCTGCCCGAAATGCTACGCGTACTAGTGGCTGTACATGAATGTAACAACTCTTGTATATATATCTCAAAAAAAAAAAAAAGTCACCAGAAGGCCTCTTTGGTTGCAACGAATCCCTCACTCCAACGAATTTGGATTGGTTCCACATAGTTCACCAAGTTGAGGCTAAACTGTGCTGTAAAATGCTGGAATATAGTATTTTTTTTAATAGGACAAAGTGTGGAATTCGTAGATGACCATTCACCAGCTTCATCACAAAATGAGATTTGGTGCTTCTGTAATGATGCAAAGTTATGATAGTTCTGTAATATCACTTGTGCAGCAAGATATATCAATACATTACGTAAAATTATTAAAGCAAATGCCTTATCATTAAAGTAGGTGCATGAGAGTATGATAAACATATTCAGCCTCATAGTCTTGTTTACACAATTCCAAAAGACTGCTTAGAAAAAGCACTGGTCAATACACAGTATTGCTAGCTGCTGACATTTGGTAATGGAAACCACTACTGTTACTTGGCACCCTGTATTTTTCAAATTAGGTAACGAGTTGGTTAGAACTCTAAATTATTTTGGTGAAGTAAAAATAGGTGATACATAAATATTCTAGACAAGGCAATAAATTGATATAACATACTTTTATGAAAGAATAGAACTACAGTATAAGAATAGAAGCACTGTACTGTAAATGAAATGCTGAAAACAAAAATATCTACTATGAGAATGAGCAGTTCTTATTGTCATGAATCAAATAATCTTGCATATCCTGAGTAAACTATGTCCGGTGCACGCATAACCCATTATGGCACCAGATTACATGAGAAGACGGTATACAAAATATGAACTCGTCAAAAAACATGAAAACTTTAAATGTTCTGCACAATTTCCTAAATCCTTTACGGAGGTAGAAAATTCTAGACCACAATAGATAGCTCGCATGCAGACGATGAGTCACAGTAACGTGACTGAAGACATGATGACCAAGCCACTCATCAGAAGACGAAGAAACGACGACATTTCGGTCTGTCCTGGACCATTATCAAGTCGTGTGTGAGTGGAGAGAGGAAGGAACAGGCCAATAAATAAGGAATAAGTGTACTGGACATACTCTAAATGAAAGATTTAAAGAATACAAAAAAAGTGTTAAGTCTGCAGGCAAAAACAATGCTCTTCTGTCATGTTAGGAATTCTAATCATCCTATTGATTGGTCTTCTTCTAAAATAATCCTTCCTGCCTCTACTCTTCACAGACGCTATCTTGTTGAATCGGCTCCGATACACAACATACCCAACGAGAACTTTAGTCCTGGCTTTGCTGCTGTTGACTCTTCCCTTTCATAATGAATACTTAAATGCTCTAACCTTCTTAACAAACGTGCCTGACTTAAGCCTACCCACTTTTCTTTTTCTTACCGCATCCCATTCTTCCTTCATCCCATTATTACATTCATCCCATTCGTACCTTTCATCTTATTCTTACCTTTAACCTTAATCTTACCTTCTCCTCACCTCACTCTTTCCTTATTTATTGGCCCATTCCTTCTTCTCACCACAGTTACAGCCCCACTCCTGTGCCAGGTAAGTCCACTACGGGCTCACCATAACCAGTGCTACCTGGAACTTTTGTTCAGAGTAACTGAATCTGAAACAACATCCTCCTCCCCTCTCTCCCACACACACACACACACACGACATGATAACGGTCCTGGACAGACTTAAATGTTGCTCTTTCTTCATCTTCTGATGTGTGGTTTGGTCATCAATAGATAACTCATTTTGGATGCTTTGATGAGAATAACATTAATATATTGGAAGTCCATTAAATTACCTTTAGCATATGCAATCCCACTGTGTATCTGTCTGGATTCCATTTAGCGACAAACAGTGGTCCTTCTACATGGGAGAGCGTGAGCCAGAAACTTGAATCATCAACTCTAACTCGGGCCACAGCAATGGGAGACAGTGACCACAACAATACCCTAAAATGCAAGAATACAATAATATCTTGATTTAAACAGAGCACTATATTGGTATAAAATTGATCAAACACATCGTTTTATCTGTTTTGAATTTACACAATTGTGTGTGCCAGTACAGAGTTCCAGAGCCTGTTGTAGTCCTTCATTACCACCACTACCAAAGTTGCCACATACATGGGGTAATGGCACCCGATTGTAATAATTTATATGACACACAGATAATAGGTCACAATAATGTAGCTCAAAACACAAAACCTGACCTGCATATGTGCAATGAAAGTGGCAATGTTTTGGTCCATCCTAGACCTTTATCAAGTTATGACACAGCAAGAGTGCGAGATGTTCATGTCGCATATCCCAATTAACAAAATCTTTATGTAAATAAACTATCTTTACAAATTTGTGAACACATTTGTTGTTTAATTTTTCCCCTTGCACATTCCAACCCCTACAACTTCTTCCCTCCCTCCCTCCCCCACAACTAATACATGTTATCAAAATTACATTCATAACATATTATCCACCACACATCTAACACTTGTATATTTTCTCCAAATTACTTTTACGTTATGCCTGAAACACACTGCATATTAGTGGTTTTATGTTTTCTCTCTCTATCTCTCTCTTACCATCAAATTTACCACTGCTCATGTATTATAAGTACAGTATGTACCTTTTCATAATTATTATTATTACACAGAGAGCAATCACACTAACGTGATGTATATATGAGAAAGTCTGTAGGAGCCATGATGAGGATTCGAACCTATGCATTGAGTATTCCCAGGCACACGCCCCAGACAACCAGGCCACAACACGGTCAAATAGATTGTAACCTGGGATTCTACTGAGCCCACAAGGATTCCTGAGGCATCCACTAAAGCCAAACCATACTCGGCGCATAGGTTCGAATCCTCATTGTGGATACTGAGGATTTTCTCAATGATGCATCACATTAGTGTGATTGCTCTCTGTGCATTGAAAGAGGAGCGTCAGAGGTAGAACATTACTAGACAACAGAGCCAGAGTGCATGGGGGGATTGTGTGAAATCCTGGTTCGGCTTCAGTGGAAGCCTCAGGAATCTTTGTGGGCTCAGTAAAACCCCAGGATGGAATCCTTTTGACCATGTAGTGACCTGGTTGTCTCACGCATGTACCTGGGAATACTCAGCGCATAGATTCGAATCCTCATCACGGCTCCTGCGGATTTTTTCATTATTATTATTGATAATTTAATATATGTTATTTGAAGAAAAAATAAACCTCTCATATATTCAATGTTCAATTACCCTAACAATTATCTTGGTTCTCTTACATGAATACAACAGTTTGAAATTGTACATTATTTATTATGCATCCTTAACATAGAAGAATCCATTTCAGAAGTCTGCAATCATCCACATGAATAACCATTTTCTTCCCAAACCAAAGTGTCCTCAGCCAGAAACTTGGCCTCAACACACCCTTTACCTGGCACAAGTGTGTACTCTCACAGCCCTTCAAAAGCAAACATAAAACCTTAAAAATAAATGGGTGCTTTACTCTTGAAAACTGTGCATGAACTAATGTGACCCAAGTATAGAGTACCTAGTTTATTCATCCCCTTCAAGTTAATGAACAGACCTGATATAAGTAGACTCTTGAATAAGGTGCAGTGGTTCATGGTGCTTCATGGCATACAGTGCATGTTTAGGGTTTGTAACAAGGATGATGGGCCAAGTGCCATGCTTCACATCCGTGAAAGAAAACAGACCGTGGTCTATAGCAGCTACCCGAAAACTGCAAATGAAAACTTATCATTAATTTCACTGTAAAGAGTAAGGATTTTTAAAGGTTGAGAAAATGAAGCAAGCACAAAAGAATTCTGTTATGCATGTATAGGGAAGGTGTAGAACTGCAACTGGCATGGCGAAGATGATGCCGCCGCTACATGTGGGGTTTAGAAGGCGAAGAAGACGACTGCTACTTATGTGGAGTTTACAGCTCTTCACATATTTAAGACAACAGGAAGTATTATAATAATAATATACAGTAATATTAAACAAGAAACCAGCGTTGAATGTGATGAAACATCAGTTTCTGAGTGAGTCCCGGAGGGTCCCTGAAGCTATCACACTGATTAAGTGCTATACTACTAGGTGTCATCAGTCGCCGAGAATTGAGCTGTGTTGTTTACCATACCTTTCAATTTGTAAGTATAAGTATTTTTGCCACACTTGTGACAGGTAAAAACATTCTTTTTTTAAGAAACAGCACCATCTGTTGCACGTAAGAGCAACACATGCTATACTAAATATGTTACGATTCCATTTCAATGTTTCCGATTTCATTGATAAATTGAATTTTCATAGATTTCAATTTATTTTCATTTTGATTTATTTATTTTGTGTGACACTGCATTGGAATTGAGCTGTGTTGTTTACCATACCGTTCATTTCGTGAGTATTTTTTTTTTTCATAGTTTTTATTTCGTTTTTCTAACTGTTTTTCTTATATTTCAGTGATGGGAACATCAGATCATTTGATGTTCCCAATTTTCTGAATGGAACATCAGATCATTTGGGAATGTATCAGACGAGGGAGTGGGGAATGGTGGGGACGACGAGGGGACAGGGGAGGGGGTAATGGAGGGGAGGACAAGGGGACAGGAGAGTTGGGGATGGTGGGGACCAGGGGAATGGAGAATGGTGGGGAGAACAAGGGGACAGGAGAGTGGGGATGGTGGGGAGGACGAGGGGGGGACAGGGGAAGGGGGGGGGAATGGTAGGGAGGACGAGGGGACGGGGGAATGGGAGATGGTGGGGAGGACGAGGGGACGGTGGAGTGGGGAATGGTAAGGAAGACGAGGGGACGGTAGAGTGGGGGATGGTGGGGAGGACAAAGGGACGGAAGAGAGGGGGGGGGGCAATGGTGGGGAAGATGAGAGGATGGGGGAGTGGGGAATGGTGGGAAGGACTGGGAGACAGGGAAAGGTTGCTGTGGCTCAGCAATGCAAATGCGTTGCCGAGCCACAGGAACGCGTGGCCGGGTACACCTAGTAACTTAATATTCAAGCTTTTCAGTCACACTTTAGCCAAAATGCCCTGTATATAAATTTACTTGAAGCCAGTTTCTCAAGAAAAGGATTTCAGAAAAATAGTTTGAAAGGATCTCATTAAATATTTACAAAACATGAAAATGTATAAATGTATACTTATGGAAATATTTGTAAAGGGAATTCTAAGAGTTTACATGATCTATAATGCTTAAAATGTTGAGATACTGGTAATGTGACCAGTATCAGACACTGGTCCAGATAGGAACACTTACACATTACAAATTAATGAAGACCAGAAGAGGTGAGGAGCTCACCAGAGGAACGTGCAGGTGCAAAAATACTGTATTCAAGATGTTGGCTTGTGAAGAACACAAAGCAATTAATTGCAGCCAGATTATAATTCTTTATATACTGCTTTTAGGTTACTCCTCAATGCATTTCCTTTCCAGCACAATTAAAAACAAACGGCAAAAACCATGACCTTAAATTGTTTACTCACACTCTACCATCTTTCCAATCTCCCAACTCCAGTTCTAATGACCCAGTATGCTGACGTGTATACATATTAGGAACAAGGCCACCTAGTGTGTGCAGATGGCCACACAAGTATGCCAGTCCACGACCCATCAGACGGCGGATTCCTGGATCTGGTGAAAGTATGCAAGATGTTGGATAATGACCAAACCAAATTGTATGGTTGTAATGCATGCTGGCCATCTCAAACTCCTCTAACATCCTCATCTCAGAAGCAGTCACCATACCTGTAAATAAAAAAATAAGACTTTGAGTTAACATTGAGCTCATTTAATTAATATTGAGCTCTTTACATAGCTATATCATTCAGTGGCTCCTATGATCCCACTATGCCCGTGGACAGAGATCATGCAGTCAGGCAGGGCAATCTACAGCAAGGTACTACAGGGAGCTGTCTGCAATTTCTGCAGGGGGTTACATTGTGACGAGAGCATTGCTGCAGAAATATATTTACCCGACATTTTATCTGAGGGGTCACAAACAACAAAACACACTAGTGGTCTCGACAAGGATAGGAAGCCGGCAGCTTGTCAAAGGTCCCCCCCACCATTTGTCCTGATTATTTCTACTGGATTTTAAAATTCAACAGTTTTGGCATTTATGGCTTTAGCAGGCAGGTTCCATGGGTTTATAACCCTGTAGATGAAAAAGCACCTTCTGTTTTCAGTCCTACACTGTGTCTAGTTGAGCTTGAAACTATTGTTTCTTGTTTGTGTTACATCTAACTTCAAGATGTAACATTGAAGAAGTTGTCTGGATCAATATCCTTCAAATTATTCAGTATTTTAAAAGTTTTGATGACATCAGCCCTGTCATGCAGTGTTGTTAGCCCTGTGGCCCTCAACTGTTCCCAGTATGTGAGCTGACTTAGTTCTGGAATGATTTTTATTGCCCAGTGTTGAATGTTCTCCAATCTTTCTGAATATGAGGTTCCATGCTTGGATACAATAATCCAAGTTAGGGCACACCAGAGTGTTATACAGTTGCATGATTACCTTTTTTCTTTAAAGTCAAAGGTACGCTTGTTTATTCCAAGGGTTTGATTAGCTTTTTGTTTCAGCCGCTCCCACATGTTGTGCAATTTTCAGTGTATGATGCATTCTGACTTCAAGGTCCTTTTCTTCATCAGTCTACTGCAAGGTAATGTTGTCAATTTGGTAGTTGTAACATGGGTTGTTATGCTCCACACACAAGGTCTTTTATTTTTTTTATTAAAAATCATTTGCTAGTCTACTGACCATTTGTGGAGTTCATGTAGATCTCTCTGTAAAGCCTCAATATAATTTTCACGTCCTAATTTACCATAAATCTTAAGTGTTATCTGCAAATCTGATAAGGTTTGTGATATTTTCATCAATGTCATTGAAGTACAGTACAGTATATGACAATATACTGTACAGCTTTGGCTCCAAAATGGACCCTTGTGGTACCCCCCATTCACCACATTTCTCCAGTCAGATTTATTCTAGTTTAGCACCCTTTGTTTTAACCATTGTTAAAATGGTCAGAGGCCCTTAGGTTGATATAGTGCTGCCACCTGGTGACATTTGAAGGGGAGGTCATCAGGTAAAACAGCCCCAATTTGAAGAACATTTATGATGCCAGTTTAAGAGCACTAAAAAGGCTTTGATTCTCTATAGACTGACCTCCGACAGTCATTACTGGACTGGATGAATTTCTTCAGGAACTCATTTATTGCAATGACATCGCGGGGATTCTTGAAAATTTGTTGCAGCTCCAATTGTATGTCACTGTGCCTGGCTGTGCATGATCTACGTCCAAGGGCACAGTCAAATACAAGTGCCGAGAAAAATTATTGTGCACACTATTGTCTGCTGAATCAAGTATTTAAAACAAAATATTAGACAACATTCATGAATAAATATGACAAACCTAAAATAATGGTAAAGTTCTATTATCATCTAACAGATCTTGTGTTAGATGATATTGACTGAATACCTGTCGGGTGAATTAAAAATTGGTAAACAGTAATTACCAATAAAATTGAAAGGTCTTTTAGGCCCTGGAAGAAGGCAGGCATCAACACCGATGAAGGCCACAGAATCTGAACCCCGAGTGTAGGTATACATGTAAGATCGTGGATGATGCTGGCCTTGAACACTGTATTTCTGATAGTAGTTTTCTTCACTAGCCAGTGAAGGCACATTGAAGTTGTCTGAGAGAAAACAAATTTGAATTAGAAACAAATATTAGTCAAGTTGTATAATTTGGGTGGCCAAAGGCAAATCCACCTACTCTCACTCTCGATATATATGACTTAAACAAAAATGCTAATGATATTTTTTGTATAAATTTCAGTGCTACAGGGTATTTCAATCTACAGCACTTAAAAGTAACTGAAATGCCTAGATTAGACTTTGCATGAGGCTACCACATAAAAAATAAATTAGTCCTCATATGTAACAAAGCATCACAAATATATGTACATCAATATAAGCAACAATAGATTTTATTATCTACCATTGATACAAAAATATTACCATGATTTCCTCTTATATCAAGCCACACAGTCTTGTTCAATACTCCTGTTGTCCGTAAGATCTCACTGTAAGTGGTCCATTCCTCAACAAACTGCCGAGAACCCAACCTGTCGGCAGTTTTGGCATCTGTCAAATCCCCTGTAAAAGATCAATATAAAATTTATTATGAAATAAGGTGTGGCTTCACTAAGAAAAATCTTGTTGAGTGGTATCAACCATATAATTAATCTGTATGATAATACAGAGAATTCCTGCTTAACACTTTCGCCCGGGCATGACGCAGCATTGTGTCATCCGTTTACTGGCGGTAATACCGGGGATGACGCAGCATTGCGTCATCCACTTTAAATAATCGCCAAAAATCAGGTTTTTATCCAATTTTTTTGGGACTGGTTTTAAAATGTGCGCCGATGTCTTCCCATTTTCTTTGTTGAGCCTCGTGGCCCTCAGGTGGCTTGGCACACGCCACCGGCCCATTGTTTTCGCTCCACTGTTGTGACCAATGTCGCCTCCCCTCACATCTCAAACGTGTGAACATTTCGTCTATTTTCCGTGGCTATATTTCTTACTGCGGCTTTAGAAACTATCTACACTTACTCCACGATGGATAGTGATCATGAACAAGGCCCTTCCAGGAAGAAAATTGCGAAAGAAAGGCTTGAAAAGGAAAGGAATTGGGAGTGTAGCTGGAAGGCGTCTGAGCGCTCACTCGCGGCTAACGCGTGGTCCGTCTTCAACTCGTCGGCGGTTGGAGTGTGACCAGTTTTTTTATTTTATATGCTAATGTTCCTCTAGAGAATTCTATTGCGAATCCATTGAGACCAAAATGAAAGACCAAGGACAAAAATTGAGGTGACCAGAGTGAAAATAGTGAAAACATTTTATCGCGTTTGCGCGCTCCTGGGTAACTCATTCGCACTTTCTCTGTTTGCTGCGGGTAATTAGCCGGGCTTTTGGAGTTTATATGCATTTTGTGCTGTAGAGAATTCTATTGCGAACACAATGATACCAAATTTAATCTCGTAGGACGAGAATTAAGGTGACAAAGTTGAAGAGAGTATACATTTTTCAGAATTTACGCGCGCTCCCGTGGCATCCTGGTTCCCATATCGCACAGTTGAAGGGTGGCACGTGGGGTACGCCAAAGTGTTAATGAACAGTCGCCTTATGAACATTCTTCCAAGTCCCCATGTACTCCCCCTTTCATGCATAAAATCATTGTACTAACTCGCTAGAGCGTCCTTTTGAATTTTGCAACACCACAGATGTCCGTGCGGCAGCCACTTGGAGTACAGTATTGGATGGATGGGTGGTAAGGGTGTATGTGATATCCAGTGGCCTCAAGTCCACAATAACCCCCTCTCACACATGATTTACTCTGTTGGTGGGGTGGGACCCTGGGCTGGAGATAGAAGGAGTCTGACCCAACAAGACTGCAACAATAGCCATAGCAGACAAAACCCTGAGATGTAGCTCAGAGGGAACAAACAAACGAAAGGGGGTAGCAGAAGGAAGAGTGTGGGCCCATGCCAAGTCCAAAGACCAGGCCGTTTGGCCTGCCAACACAAGTAAAGTGTGATGCTTGCTTGTTTCCTTGGGATTGTAGGGAGTTTCTACCTCTCTGTTCGTTTTTTTGTTTTAGTTTTTTACCATGTGGGGTTTGTTTTGTTATGCCTACCTTTCTGGGTGCTAACCCCAGTCGATGGCAGATAAGGAAAACCCCAACCACAAGGGGGTTTTCCAGGGCCATTGCTCCCTGAAACCTCTCTGAAGGGGCCAGGTTCTGGCGCACATCACTGGTAGGTCTGAACTCCTTAGCTAATGTCCCGGTCTAATATAACATACATTAGCCCGATAAGCTCCAGGAAGCCGTAGGGGCTCCCCACAGAAAAGCTGGTCACGCAATTCCCTAGTTTGCCCCACCAGCCACAAACACTTCCAACCCCAGGGAGACAGACAACCTCAGACCACTGGCTTACCAAAAGGGCAAGGGCCACCCTCAAGTGAGGAGGTCCCCTAAAGGGAGCATATCGCAGATGTCCCAGGGATGGAAGCCCTGACCATGCAAGGGCAATATTCGAAGAGCGCACAGGGAAGGGAACCCTGTGCTCATGCATTTCCAAGTACACACAACTCCTGCTCACACTATACAACTGCATATAAACAACCTCAGAGCAGGGTTGCCAGAATCAAAAATGATATATCCAAAATGCTATGCATGTAGTAGGTTTGCAAGAATGGAAGCACTCCAATGGTACGGACACCCACAAACCCAACATATAAAAATAAAGAACCTAAAAAAGAAAAAGAACCAAAGCCACGAATGTAAATAGCTGGCAACACAATTGGTCTCCAAAGAACCCAAACAGGCTACAAAGAGCCAAAAGAAACAAACGGAAACAGTTGGAATGCAATTGGGCTCCATAAAATCCAACCGGGCTACAGAACCCAGCCAGGCAACCCTGTCTCAGAGGCCCTAAGCAACCACTTAGCTGCTAAAGGCGATTGGAGCCAGAGTCCCTGATGTCTGCACCCAGGTACACATCTGCAAGGACTGAGATTGGTGCGAGCCTGCTGACCTGGTAGGTCAGCAGCAACCATCTCCTTCCTTCCCCCCTAAACGAGGGAGATAATGGGGCAAACTAGCCAGCGATAGTTTCAAGTAAATTTGGTGGTTGTTTATATTGTTGGGAGAATTCTTTTGGCAGTTTTGAAGCATCATCTCACTTTAAACCATCCTGTAGATTGTTTGGTTCACCTACCTTTCTGGGTACTTTCCTGGTGGTGACAAATATGATTAAACTTTAAATGTAAAGTTTCATAGGACATCGTTCCCTGTGCCTCTCTGAGGGGAATAGCTTCTGTCTCATGGGTCCCTGGTAGGCCGATAAGAATTCCACGACTATGACACAAATGAATTCATTTGTGAAGTAATCAATTATAATTAGTGAATTAATGGCTTCAGGATGGTTGTCTGAATTTTTAGGTTTACCTAATTTTTGGTTTGCTATGCTAACCATGCCACTCGCATGTTTGTTCACGAATCCACCTGTCGACAGAGGAAGAAATTCTTGGTTCCCTCTGTATGACATTAAAGGGGTTACCAGAAGTGACTTTATTCGACATTAATAAACAGCATTTACTTAAAAATAAATAACATTGCAAAAAATCAATACTGTACTCATGTACTGTAATGTTAGACCCCTGTTACAGTATTAAAAAATAAATCAAATGTTTTATTACAAATATAATTGTGATAAAGTGCACTCTCTTGAAATATACAATAATTTATTTCTACAGCTAATTATAGTAATAAAGGTAAACAACTTACCAGAAGCGAGAACAACGGCAGGCTTGATGGCAGCCACGGTGACGAGGGAAAACTCTCTAAATTGTGTTGCTCTTGTAACATCTTGAAAGACACTCAGGTGAAGGTCAGAAATCTGCAATTAATGAAGGAGAATTAAACTACTGGTAGTTATATTTATATTACTATCAAGAAAGGTATTCACACTTACCTGGTATATATTTTTGGCTTGATTGTTCATATATCTTGATGCTACTGATGCCTCTTCATCTAGATTTTGGTGCCAGCCTGTCTGGTCCTCCTTATCTCTAAATTTACAAGATCTTTTACATCTTTCCTTTCTCAAAATGTTAGACCCAGAGATTGGCATGGTAGGCCTCCCTTGGCAGGTTCCTTAATTTACTCTCATCTGTCAGATTTCTCACTTCCCATTTTATCTTGACCTTATTCATAAAACTCTCTCTCTCACCCGCTCTTGTTAAAAGTAATCGAGTAATATGTAAATTTATAAGTTAAAAGTAATATGAAATACAAGTTTTGTTTTGTCAGTAATGGGTGGGAGGTCACTGATTTTGGGTACAGAAACTCCTCCATTAGACCTCTCCCAAATCCTTCCTTTCTTGCCTAAAATGAGACAACAGTATTTTATTTTAGGTAGGGACATATACACCTGAAGACTTTCTTGTTACAATGGGGTTTCTCATTCCTTCCATCGGGTGTCGATGCTCTGGCATTATGTGACTACTTCTCATTGTGTGATTAGCCAATTTTAAGACAATAGTCCCATGTGTGAAGGCTTGCCAAACACAACTGCTCTATTGGGTTTTGAAACTCAAGTCAGGCCTATATATATGCCCTTGGGCACATTTTTTGCAAATATTCAACATTTATGAAGCACTTTTCTATACAATGTCTTGCTCCGAGATCTGGGCTAGAGGGTTCTAACACCCCCAATAAAGTGCTTGTGGAGAACTACTTCAAGTTTCCTGGCTTACATCATCATTGTGTGGCACATCTATGTACTCATCTAGTTGTGCTTGCAGGGGTTGAGCTCTGGCCCTTTCAGCCCGCCTCTCAACTGTCAATCAATCTTTTTTTTTCACACACACCCAGGAAGCAGTCCATAGCAGCTGTCTAACTCCCAGGTACCTATTTACTGCTAGGTGAACAGGGACATCGGGGTGAAAGAAACTTTGCCCATTTGTATCCACCATCACTGGGATTGATCCCCGCACCACAGGACTACGAATCCTGAGCACTATCCACTCAGCTGTCAGGCCCCCGTATGTGGTATCCTCTGAAGTGCAACCCGTTCTCATTATAGCATGTTGCATTTTGACGTTTACTTTACATGAGGCCAAAAACTGATGTACAAGAAAATGGTAGTGGTTTGCAAAATTGTCATTATGTCCTGTTTTTAGTTCAAGGTCCTCTGGTTGGTTAGGTTAGAGCACTTTAGCACAGTATGACAGTTTCTAGATGTTGGAAAGGCTCACGAGAATGAGCTGTGGAGTGTGGGTCAAGCCTGTGCTTTTACCTCCTAGCATCTCTTATTCATATGGTTGTCCAGCACCCATCAGTTTTTCAGCATTGCAATGCATTACAGTACCTTGAGGTTACCTTGAGGTGCTTCCGGGGCTTAGCGTCCCCGCGGCCCGGTCGTCGACCAGGCCTCCTGGTTGCCGGACTAATCAACCAGGCTGTTGGACGCGGCTGCTCGCAGCCTGACGTACGAGTCACAGCCTGGTTGATCAGGTATCCTTTGGAGGTGCCAAAGTACCTTCCATTTCTGTTTTATTTTCTTATTTAGCATCAGCAACAAAGTCTTAACTTTAGGAACAACCAAGTGTGATACTGTAATTTAGAAATAAGAATATGAGTTAATATGAAAAGTTCCTTTCTGAGAAAAGCACCCAATTGCTCTTTCTTCCACCCTTCTTTTATTGTTCTTCCCTAAGCACAGTTTTTGTATTGTCTCCGGAAGTATATGAGAACAGGATCCAGGAACCTTGAGTAGGCACACTACTTCCACCTGGTGGCATTTGACTGCTCAATCGGGGTGGTGAATAAGCAGTTTGAATCGTCACCTGACAGCTACGCGTTAAATCAAGAAATGTAATTACCCATGTGTAGTTACAGGACAAGAACTACACCTGTGGTGTCCAATTTTCCCAGTACTCTTTCATATGATGCTTTGATACTGCGAACAGTTTTGGCCTCCACTGCTTTTCCACTTGTTCCAATCGTCTACCACTGTTTGTATATGAGAACTTTTCTAATATTTTTTGGCCACTTGAATCTATAATCTTTTGTTTTGAAGTGGCAAGTTTCAAAAATTCCTTTTTAGTTAATTTTGTCAATTCTTGTTACTATTTTGTACATAGTGATCATATTGTCTCTTTTTCTTCTATTTTTTAGCTTTGGAATATTTAACACCTTTAACCTCTCCTCAAAGCCCATTGTTTATCAATTCTGAAAGTCATTTGATGATTTGACAGAGCTATGAATTTGTGAATGTGCCACAGATGGTCACTTTAGGTTTGCATGAGCGCATCTTCGGTGATTAGAACCTAATATTAATGACTCGGCAAGGACATTTTTAACGTACAGGTATTAGTACCGTACCATGTAGTGCTGGTGCCAAGTATGTCATCCAACTTGACTGTGCGGTACTTGCATCCTGTATGATGATGGATACTTACTATAGGGAGCAACTAAGTGTTTTATTAAGTACTTTCACACATAGCCTTACTTTTTATAATAACTAGGCATTCTAAATTATATCATGCAACATGTAAGGCCAACATTAAATTTTCCTCCTAGAGCATAGTACAGTATAAGTTGTCCAAGGTGATTTTTAAGCTTTTAGCCCATCAATAGGTTAAGGTACTAAACATAAGGTCACCTTATCACATGTAACTCATAAGAATAACGTGTAAATCACGCGTAGCTCATGAGAGTAACATGTAAATCACGCGTAACTCATAAGAGTAACGTGTAAATCACGTGTAACTCATAAGAGTAACGTGTAAATCACGCGTAAATCACGAGTAACTCATAAGAGTAACGTGTAAATCACGCGTAACTCATTAGAGTAACATGTAAATCATGTGTAACTCATAAAAGTTGCTCATACCTATAGATATCATACCTATAGGTATACCTATAGACATCACATGCAACCCATAAGAGTAACGTGTAAATCACATGTACCTCATAAGAGTAACATGTAAAACAAGTGTAACTCATAAGAGTAATATGTAAATCACATGTAACTCATAAAGTACAGTATTCACAGTGTACAACTATCCAGAAGGCAAGTCACCTCTGATAATAACCCAAAACTTATTTGACTTCAAATCAATGAATAATATTACTGAGAACTCACCTTTAATATAAAGCCTTATAGAAATGGCCAATGAGTTAATAATCAACTACTCTTCATTTAACAATTGACAATAAAATTCAGATAAAGAGCACAAGACATAGTGTGTAACCAACCTGCATAAACCATATTAAATGGTTAGAAGAAGAATCTAAGACTACGTTGCCCGACTCTGTACGTCTGTTCTTTGTACGGTGGGTGTTGTTGGGCGGCTCTGTCACATCAATGCTCAGCACGCGCACCACCTGCCCAACAAGCGATGCCCCTCCAAGGGCTAGTATAGTCCACACTATTGTACCAAGTCCAATACGCATGTCTGAAAGCAATAATAACTCTTATAAAGTGTGGCCATTGTTATACGTCGATCCCCTGGGTAATGTGGTTACCATATATTGATATTAGTTTTTATCACCTGGTTTTTAAATAAATGGAATACACACGGTTACTGTATTATAATACATCTATTTGGATGTACAGTAATAGAGTTAACCTAAGACCCATGAAAAAATTCTGCTATCATTTTATGAACATAGGTTTAACAAAAAAGTATTTTAGTGTTTGAGAGAAGGGAATAAAATATTGTGGGTTTTACAGATCCTTATAGTGACAAGGCAGAATGATTTGAAGTATATGATAAAAAAAATCCTGAAACAGGTAGTACTGTTCTGGTTAAGTTTTAAATACTGTACAGTATTTGGATCGTGTTGGATAAAAATGGGGGTATGGAAGGTGAAATAAAGTAAGTTGTGTGGGAGAGAAGAGTAACAAGAGAAGTGTAATACTGTAGTATAATTTAAGAAAGGGAACTTATGAGAGTTAAGAGAAGCTGATGATAATACTGTACATTACTCCCTACCCTGACATACGCAAGTGAAACCTGGGTTTGGAAATGAGTAGAGTTATAAGAGCAAAGTAAAACCACAGAAATCATTATTTTTTTTGTTTAGAAACTGTGCTGATGTATATAGTATGGATACAGTAATAAGGAAGCTTATAGACATGGCACGAGTAAAATGGGTGAGAGAATTAAATGCGGAACAGAGAAATCGATGCTCAAACATTGGTGGAATGGACATGTTGGCACAGTAGGATGTTTGAGGGAGACAACCGGTGTCTTGGAAGAAAAAATGAGTAGAATAATATATGAGGAGAAAGGGTGGAGGACAGAGTTAGGGAGCTTAAAGAGAAAGAACAATTTGTGTGGTGATAAGAGCTTCCTGGAGATGCTTCTGCTGTGGCCACGAGTTTCCAGGAAGGTGTCAGGACTATACAGCATATAGACTAGATGTAAAACACAAAACAAGCAAACCAATTCTAGTTTTTTCCTAGGAATGGTGTGGGGGGTTCAGTGGAACAAAGAATATTGTGAAACATCCAACTATATCAATAAGATATAGTTGGAAGCAGGAAGCAAATGTAAAGCATTTTATGTACAACAATAACAAAATCTGAAGTACCCATAAACATGTGAGACAACTGACTAAGTACAGTACAACAATTTTATTGCCTTTGGGATACTCAAGAAAGATCTAGGGCAAAGCTGCTGTTCTTTGGTTACTTAAGCAAGTTATTTGTAAACAAAGAAATGAAAATAACATGATATATCCAAGAGAAAATCTGTGGAGCAGGACGGTGGGATCGAACCAGTATCCTGGGTCTCCCCAGATGTACACCTTACCAATGGACCAAAATATGCTATTTGATCCAACCGTCCTTATCTTGAGACCTTATCAAGATCTTATCTATGAGTTACAAAAAGTCCTGCTCCAAATATTACCTAAAATTAATTATGTTCAAATTGAAACTATAAATGATACCAAAATCTAATTTGTAGATGCAATACTTATCAACTTATTACATGTACTGAAAATAATTATATTAACCAATAATCACCCTCGGCTCAAATCCCAGGGCCACCCACCTCAGCTCATATCTTGGACACCCCCCCCCATCTTGGCTTGCATTCTAGGGCCTCCTACCTTGGTGTGCATCCTGAGGCCACACCTTGGCTCGAGTTTTGGGCTCCCCCCCCCCCCCCCCCCGAGTTCTTTGCCACCCAATCACCCTCATTAACTCAAGTCCTGGGCCCATTCCCATCTTGGCTCGCATCCTGGCCACTCCACCAACCTCCAACCTCGGCTCGCATCCTGCCCCCCCCCCTCGGCTCGTGTCCTCCCCCACCCCCACCTCGGTTCGTGTCCTGGGCCCCCCCTAACCTCGGCTCGTGTCCTGGCACCCCCCCCACCCCAGCTCGAATCCTGCCCCCTCACCTCGACTCACATCCTGCCCCCCACCTCGGCTCACGTCCTGGCCCCCCTACCTCGGCTCGCGTTCTGGCCTCCGCCCCCCCACCTTAGCTCGCATCCTCCATCCCTCGCCCCTGGCTTGTGTCCTACCCCCCCATCTCGGCTCGCATGCTCCCCCCTCACCTCGGCTCGCGTCCTGCCCCCCACCTCGGCTCCCCACCTACCTCGGCTCGCGTCCTGGCCCCCCACCTCGGCTCGCGTCCTGCCCCCCCCCCACCTCGGCTCGCGTCCTTCCCCCCCCACCTCGGCTCACGTCTTGCCTCCCCCCACCTCGGCTCGCGTCCTGCCCCCCCCCACCTCGGCTCGAGTCCTGCCCCCCCCCACCTCGGCTCACATCCTGGTTCGGCTCGCGTCCTGCCCCCCCACACCTCGGCTCGCGTCCTGCCCCCCCCACCTCGGCTCGCGTCCTGCCCCCCCCCACCTCGGCTCGAGTCCTGCCCCCCCCCCACCTCGGCTCACGTCCTGCCCCCCCCCACCTCGGCTCGCGTCCTGCCCCCCCACACCTCGGCTCGCGTCCTGCCCCCCCCCAGCTCGGCTCGCGTCCTGCCCCCCCCACCTCGGCTCACGTCCTGCCTCCCCCCCACCTCGGCTCGCGTCCTGCCCCCCCCACACCTCGGCTCGCGTCCTGCCCCCCCCCCACCTCGGCTCACGTCCTGCCCCCCCCACCTCGGCTCGCGTCCTGCCTCCCCCCCAACCTCGGCTCGAGTCCTGCCTCCCCCCCCACCTCGGCTCGCATCCTGCCTCCCCCCCCACCTCGGCTCGCGTCCTGCCTCCCCCCCACCTCGGCTCGCGTCCTGCCTCCCCCCCACCTCAGCTCACGTCCTTCCCTCCCCCCCCCCAACCTCGGCTCGCATCCTGGCCCCCCACCTCGGCTCGCGTCCTGGCCCCCCCCACTTCGGCTCGCGTCCTGCCTCCCCCCCACCTCAGCTCATGTCCTTCCCCCCCCCAACCTCGGCTCATGTCCTGGCCCCCCCCACCTTGGCTCGCGTCCTGGCCCCCCCCCCACCTCGGCTCGCGTCCTGCCTCCCCCCCCACCTCGGCTCACATTCTGCCCCCCCCCATTTTGGCTCACATCCTGCCCCCCCCCACCCCTGGCCCATCCTGGCCCCTGACCTCTAACCTTAGTTGCGGTCTCGAGGCTCCCCCCCCTTTTGCTTGCACCTAGGGGCCCCTCTCCCACCTTGATTCACACGTTGTGCCCACTTGGGAACATAGCCCCCCCCCCTTCTCCCTCACCTGATCCTCCTAAGCTCACGTCTCTCAACACTCCACGTCAGGAGCGGCCGCAGTCACCACCACCAGGAAAATCAGTTACGTGTACTATAGAGTCAGTGTGTCCTGTGTAGGAGTGTTACCTGTGTCTCAGGGCAGGGGAGACATAGTAGGGAGGACAGAGAGGGAGTGTGTGAGCCGCCTGGACGTGGTCCCTCTGAGGTCCTGCGCAGGACTCCTCCTCCTCCTCCTGAGGCTGTCTCGTACGTCAGCCACCCTGTCCACCTCTCTCTCTCTCTCGTGCCGGCAGTTGTTGTACCCAATAACAGTTTAATTGGATCACGCCCCCCTTTTCTTCTTTGTTGATAATGCTAGCCTTTAACAGCTCAAAGAATTTTGTTATTAGTTAAAAGACTTGTGACAGTTGTTTCATCATTGGCATCATACATGCTGAAGATGACAACAGCTGATACGTGTATCGCAATACGCATGCCTACTTATTTACATGTATTTTGTTATAGACTTGCTCATATAATGTATTTTATAACTCATTTCTTTATTACTAAAGTCAATACAAGTTATTTCTCATTATCAATTTTAGCTATCATTAACTATCCCTCGATCTCTAATATAATAATGACAATAAGCGCCTCATCTCACATTACGCATGTACACAAATAACCAATCTGGTTAAATGTATTCCATCCCATAAATATTCTTTTTTTTGAGCTTCAATTTGTTTTAGAATAAAACACTAAAAACTGGTGACAGTTGTGGTTACCCCCAATTGCCATGTTTTACACCGTACTTGTACCGGCCGCGTGCTGCCATCTATCGGCCGCGGCGGGAAGCACCCGATGTAAACAAGCCAGAAATATCGACCGAGGGATACAGACCCTAAGATCTTACTTTTCCGGTGCCTCGTCAGTTAACCCTTTTAATGCGTTTACCGTTAATCTGTCCAGCACGCACCTCTGAATGCTGATATCCCCTGTCGGTTAGTAACTTCATCCATTAACCTGCTTAAAAAAAATGGTAACTTTAAATGATAATGGGAGAAGGTTTTGTTGCGGAGGGTAGTGGGAGGAGGGGGGGGCCTCTTTCAACCCTGGAAGGCAATTGTTAGCCCAGTATAGGGTCCTGGTGCAAGATTCTCGCATTTACGTAGGTTGTTGCAATATGGACTGCATGGTGCCCGACTATTGCCAGATGTTGAGATTCTGCTTCACTTTGGTATGGTGGGGCTAGCTAGGCGGTTTGTGAAATGCAGCAAGTAAGCAATTAGCACAGTGTGTATAACATATAATTCACGAGGACACAACTTGAATCATGTGTATGTGGCTTTTCATTTTCTGGTGATGTTAATAACATTTGTATTTCTACTGTCTGATGTAAAATATAGTAAAATTGCTGTTTATTGACATTTTATCTAAGCCTCTTAACTTATTTTTCCCCACAGGCATTCCTTACTGTGATTTAATTCAGTTTCATGTAGGGACTCATATCTTGGCTCACCTTTGGGATAAAATTGCCACTCCCCTATGTATTTAAGAGGCACTTATATAAGTTCTTGCAAGAAGTGCCAGACCAACCAGGTTGTAGTGGATATGTGGGCCTGCGGGCCATTCCAAACAACAGCCTGTTGAACGAAGTTATTACAAGTCGAGCCTGACCTTAGGCCGTGCTCAGGGAGTAGAAGAACTCCCAGAACCCTCTTCAGGTATGCTCCAGGTATGCTCCCCAAACACTTAACCAAAGACCAATAACTTTATCCTAATAAGGTGGTCTCCCCCTAACAGCCTTCTGGTCCACCCAGAGCCTTGATTCTAAAGATGATAAATTTGATACAGCTACCTGAAGTGAAACAAAAATGTTTAAAAATATTTAATAAAATTCTTTGTATTATGAGATTATGTATGCCTATCATAGGGAAATTCCTTCTTCATAACTGCAGTAACAAAAATATTTATTGACAAGTATGGAAATGTTATGGTGTTAGTATAACAAATAGTGGGATTTTGGTATATATAATAAATGTTGCAGTTTGTGACACTTTTATGTTTCAGTGTGTGGCCAGATGGCAAGAGTTGGAGGGGAGCTGGTCGGAGGAGAGCTCGGAGTCGTTTTAGAAGAAAGTGGAGTGGGAGTGACATTTGTGGATCCTCCATCTCTGGAGTCTTCGGGACTAACTGAAGATTCACTCAATGGTGACCTCACAGTGTGTCAGTACATCCTCCCACATGATGTTGGAGGTAACTTTAGTACTATGATTATATACATATCCTTCCACATAATGTTACAGATAAATTTAGTACTATGGCTATTTACATATGCAGTACTGTACTATACACCTGTGTATAGTGTATGCTATACACTTTTGTGTATGCTACAGGGAACTATATAAAATGTGTATGCTGCAGGGAACTATATAAAATGTGTATGCTGCAGGGAACTATATAAAATGTGTATGCTGCAGGGAACTATATAAAATGTGTATGCTGCAGGGAACACTTATGCAATGTATATTTTACATATCTTTCCACATAATGTACCTGTTATGGCATATTGTTACCAGTCACCTTCCACTCCCCACTAGGTTGGCCTGGTCCCCCACCTCGGCCTAGGCTGAGAAAAAATGCAGTGATTTACCTGTCTAGGATATTCAAAATTTGAGTAGGGAAAGACTGTAGTAGTTCTCTTCAGGTATAATATAAAACTAGCACCAGGAATTAACAATTTACGAATAAAATAATATAATTAAGGTACAGTACTGGTGAAGTTATATGTTGCAATTAGTACCATAAATTTAATACCCAGCAATGGTTGTTAGAAAGAGAAATACTGGTAAATACTCACAGGCAAAACCATCATCCCTTGAAATAGGAATTCCTTTAGTATTTCAAAGAGATTCTTATAAGTAGGGATTATTCACTTCAGTAATTATGACTTATCCACTAATAAAAGATGTCACTGCCTGAAATAATAAACACAACCTAGCTAAAAAACAGCAAGAAACGTAATTCAAATTTAGCGGCCCTGATGCAGCTAGTCCCTATCCAATGGAGTCTACAATACTTCTGCATGTTTTCAAGAGCTGCCCAGCTCTCTCAACACAGCGTTGAAAGATTTACTTATAACGACTTTTTCTATCGGTTATACAGTCAAAAAATAACATTAGTAAGTATAAAATACACAAGTAATTCTTTGCAATGTGTGTATCAACTTTTCATGCACAATTGGCTGCTGGAAATAAAACAATAATCTTTGAGGTCTGAAACATCAATGCCGGCTTGAAACAGTAACTGTTATTCACCACCAAGGGGAAAGTTGATCTACATAATATTGCTTATTATAAAATATATTGATAGGTCTGCTGGTTGCCCCACATGAAAAATCATAATCAACATGCAAAAAAAATACAAGATATTCAACATGCTAACTGAATATGTAATTCCTTGTTACTCTCCCATTAAAGGACAACCGTGAACCTTTCAGGCTATTTGCATACCCAATTTGCATTCCTTTATTGCAAATTAATATGTAAATAAATTTGCAAGTCCTCCTTGACTAGCTGTTTTTATAAATTATTATATTGTATTGCCAGACCGTCAGGCAAAATTGCATATTCAGGCCTAGCAACAAAATTAACTTTCCAACCAACAAGATACCTTAACAACTAAGGATCTGTATTGACTTGACTTCAGAAGACAACATAATGTAATCAACATTGCACTCAAAAGGTAATTCCAACTACAGTAAGTGAGAATGAGGCTCTCGGCCAGTTTGCAACAGTAGCAGAAAACTAGTGCTATGGTTTATTACACTCAAATGATATTATTGATGGTAATTCAGTCATTTATTTTGATTAATGTATTAAACTTCATTTATTTCAAATTTTAAATGTAATGCAAGATATGTTATCAAAATTTGCAAATTTGTAGAATATGTAGTTCATTATTCTGCCAGTATTGGGATGGGGCTAAATAAATACTCTTAATTATATTTGTAATTACAGATTAATAGAGAACATTGAAATGAGTATTTGTCTATTATATGATGTGGAAGAAGACAGTAGAACACAAATAACTCGCAAATATAAAAAAATATCCAATTAGCATCGATATACAGTATATATGACTGAAAGTGTGGAAAAAGGGAAAAAATGGAGAGAGTGAGGAATAAGGTAATGCAGTCACTCTGTAAATAGAGATGGTGGAGATAGGGATTGGTTTATAATGTTGATGGTAATAATAGTGATAACAATGGCATTGAGTGTGCCAATTTCAGTTTAAAAGTCTTATTGAAAAGGGGTTGTACATTTATAATTAGTATACAAAATTCTAGTACATTATTTAAACTTGAAAAAATGTAATAATAAATAGCATTAATAATTTTAATTTGATATACTGTGAAAAAATGGCAATGCCCATTATGACATAAACCTGAAAACATGAAAGAAAATGGAAACATTAGTAATTATTACAATTCTGATGACATTATAATATCCATTACAAAAAACAGGAGACATTGTGGAAATTATTTACTGATAATGTGTGTATGTATGTACAGTGTGTGTGTGTGTGTGTGTGTGTGTGTGTGTGTGTGTGTGTGTGTGTGTGTGTGTGTGTGTGTGTGTGTGTGTGTGTGTGTGTGTGTGTGTGTATATATATATATATATATATATATATATATATATATATATATATATATATATATATATATATATATATATATATATATATATATATATATATATATATATTTCAACCTATACTTAACCATTGCCTACATGACAAATCTAGTCATATATTTTAAAAAATTACTGCAGTGCGAATATTAATAACACACGAGAACCATAGTCGTATTAACAGAGGCATGATAACCTTTATTATAGATTCCCTTATCAATCACATTAAAACCATTAAATGCAATTTGTTTTATTATCAAAAGCCTCTAAAACAATGTTCTTAACATAGAAATCACACACAATTTTTACAATCGGAAAGCATTTGTGTGGAATATTGAAATAATGTTATATTGTTCAGTTGTTGACACAGATTGTAAGCCTTAGACATATGTTAAGCTTATATTTGGAGCCTGGAAATTGATTTACAGTAATAGAAAGTAAAGTATTGAGTAAACCTGTAAACTACCTGCAATCTCATTAATAAATTCATAAATAAATTCATAAATGACACCTCATTAAAATACCAGACTGTAAATAACTCTGTGACAAGAATTAATTTGGAATATATAAAGTCATGTCAGTTCTTGTCGTTGTTCCAGGCAAGTGTGGTTCATTTTGTCACTCCATCCACAACAGTGACCTTGTCTGCTGACACATGTGGAGTTTCCAGAAGTAACAATTAGCCCAATTTTAAGTCATCTGTATTTTTTTTAGCAAGATATATTATAGTTGGTTCTGATTTGGAAGGTTTATTGTAAGATAAATTGAACAACATATTGCTCAAAAAGGTGACATGTATTGATCTGTATCTATTAAAGAGAATGCCTGTTTGTTTGTTTGTCTGCTGTCCGAAGTTGGAGGCCAGATGCTTAGGGCTAGCTTCACCCAAGTTTCCAACATGAAACATGGTGGGGTATGGGAGTGTCAGGCCAGTTGAGAATGGCTTTACCCTTTGACAAATATTGGCATTTATGGCAACCCCGTGCAGTTTATGTGGTCTGAAAATTGAGCCTATGTTTTCTGTAGAGTTTTTAAGCAGATTTTCAATGCTTTGTAATATTAAATTTTCAGTAAGAGAGGAAGAGAAATAAGAGGGGGGGGGGGATTAGGAGAGGAGAAAGAGGTGGGGGTATTAGGAGAGGGGAAAGAGGTGGGGGTATTAGGAGAGGGGAAAGAGGTGGGGGTATTAGGAGAGGAGGGGGGAGAGAGGTGGGAGAAGCCCTGACACAATTGGTTACACCCAACTAGTAAGGTATGCAACTTTTGATAGACAATAAAATTTTAAGCATGTTTTAGAGATGCAGGTGAAGATATGACCAGATCATATATTGTGGTGTGGTTAGCAAGAAATGCAAATAGCCCTGGATATAGTATTCTGACATTTGGAAATTAAAGCTGTTGCTGGGGTGCTGAGATTTAGGATGTGGATGAGGATGAGGATGAGGATACCCATGAGAGTAGACTTGTAAAAAGATCTTAGCTATACTGATGGGCTTTTGGAGATTTCCTGTCATACAAACAGATGAGATATTGACACTTCATAAATTACCATGGACAGGTATGAGAAAAGAAAACCTCTTTCAAGGTCAAACAGTAGACCCAAAGTGGGTGTATGGGATAGAATGAAGGCTGGGTATGTGGGGGAGAGAGTGAGGGTTGTGTACACGGTCACCACACTTCCCCCTTACCCTGCCAGTCTCTCCACACACCCCTCCCCCTCCATGAGTTCCTACACACCACCTCCCACCCAGTCTCCACGCACCAACCTCCCCTTTTCTGGTCTCACTCCACCCCTCCCTCTCCAAACAACTCCCACCTCCCAATCTATACCACCACCCCACCTTCTCTACACCACCACTCTACCTTCCCCTCTACACCCCCTCACCACCTTCCCTTCTACACTCCCTCACCTCCCTCAAACCCTGTCTTTCTCCTGTCTCTCCCTGTCATTGTAACCATTTTCCCTATGCCCTCCTTCACTGTAAACAAATGGTTACCTTACAGTATAAATCTGTCATCTGTTATACAATTGTTATAGTCTATGGATTCAGAGCTGAACATTTAACATCCACAAACTTCATGAAGGAAGGGCATTCGGATTATGAGCCGATCCCAACCCCCTGCATATGTCACTCCCGATAAAATCACCCTTAACCCTACAAAATTTAATGAAGCTAGCCCCAAGCACCTAGCTTCCAACTTCTAATAGACAGACAGACATACATTCTCTCTTTTTGATAAAGATTTGTGTATATGCCATATGTACATTGTGTGTGTTTGTACATATTATACAATACCCAGAGACTTGAGTAAGGGACCAATAATTAATAGGTTTCTTTATTCTAGGATTTCATTGGATTTCTGTTACATGTTCCTCCATTCAGCTTGCCATGTGTTTACTTTGATGGTGTATAGTACTCGACAAAAGTATGGGTTGCCCTGCTCTAGGCAGTGCGTACTTAATGCATAAAAAGTATGATAATTGTGTGGGTGAAATATGTGAGACAGATGTTAGCACCAGGCACATGATGTCAGGGGGTGGGGGGGTTCCTAGCTTCCCGGAGCCACATCCTGGGAAGACTTCTTCAAGGTCTACCTTGCTGTATCATGAAGGATACTCTCTAATTAATATTTTAGAATGTTCACAGACCTTGAAGACATCTTCCTGGGATGACCAGACCGATGTTTCTGTGATGGAGTGTCATTACTGTTTCCCCCTTGGAAACACAATCAGTACTTCCTCATGTCGACCGGGCTACACCTAACAATTAATTTATTGCCTGAATTTGGTGGCCTGCTTCCTTTTAAAGCAATGATCTGAGCAATGATTTCTTTGCTTAGCTCCTTGGTGGATGCCATAACAAAATTGTAATACCACCAACACCACTGTCAACTGTGATAACAGATGCACAGGTACCAGAGCTGGAAGCACAACATAACCACTCCCTATGAATGCCCAGAGCCAACTAAGCCTACTAGCTGCGTGCCTCTGGGAAGCCGGGAAACCCCCTGATGTCAGGTACCCAGCGCTAACTTCTGTTTGACATATTTCACCCACATAACTATCATACTTTTTATGCCTTAAGTATGCACTGCCTCAAGCAGGGTGGCCCATACTTTTCACGAGTACCATACATGCCATCTATAATTTATTTAGTTTTTAGTAATTTCTAAATGTGCTTGCAGTTGCTGGGTTTGAAGAAGTTGTGGAGGAGGTGGAATTGGGATCTCCGTCCTGGGATAACTTGAACAAATCCTCTTCCTCCTCATCTCTCAGCCATGACTCGGGAATCGGCACAGACCCTAGTCCTGATGTGTTCCTCACTCTTATAGAAGAGACTGTAGCTCCACCAGGTCTTCTTAGTTCCTCTCCAAGTCAGGAAGGTGGTGAAGTCATTGTAGAAAGAATATATGAAATGAAAGATGATTTATGTTTTACTGAAAGTGCACATGAAATAAAAGATGAACCTTTAGAAACTGTGGAAGAGTCCATTGGATTAGACAGAGAAGAGCAAATGGTGGAGCCGGAGGAACATTGGTCAAAACGAATAAAGTGTGAAGAATTTGGTAATGAAAGTGAAATTGAACACAAAAAAAGTACCCGTATTCGAGTAGTTGCATATCATTGTACAGACTGTAGTGTAAATTTCACAGATGAAACTGAGTTTCGAGCTCACATGGAAGACCACTTGATCAAACTTCAAAATTCTTGTGCGCTCTGCAGTACCGAATTTTCAACAAAATCAGAACTTCAAGATCATATTAAAGATCATTTTTCTAAAAATTCTTCACACACATGCAATGTTTGTGAGCAAAAATTTGTATCTAAAAATGGGTTAAAGCGACACAAGAAACAGCTTCATAACTTTGGCAGTGTTGTCGTTCTTAATACTGCAAGCATCAAATGTGGTGTTTGCCAAGCTGTCTTTTCTGACAAAGCAACTCTTCGGCAGCATGCCGCAACTCATGCTTCAAGAAAGCCCTTTACCTGCGATGAATGTGGGGCTACTTTTACTCAAAATGGTTCACTTCAAGTACATCTTCGGCGCCATCGAGGAGAAAAACCATTCACTTGTCAGTTGTGTGGTAACAGCTTTACCAGGGCACATAGTCTCAAAGTACATATGAAAACACACACTGGAGAAAAGCCATATGCATGTGAATATTGTGGTGCATGTTTTGTTACTTCATCTCATTTAACTGTTCACCGTCGAACTCACACTGGCGAGAGGCCATATTCTTGCAGTGATTGTGGCGCAACTTTTATCACTACTTCACATTTAAATGTTCATCGTAGAGTACACACTGGCAGTGGAAATGTCACTGCTAGCCCAGTTAGTTGCCCACAATGCCAAGCTACATTTAATGATCCCGCTCAACTTCGGCATCACCGTCGCACTCAACACCGTATGAATCATCAGCAAACCTCGCAGGTAGCATGCAAGGTGTGTGACAAACGATTTCCAAACACTCGACAGTTAAATAATCACATGGTGCATGAATGTGGCTGAGTATGGCTTACTTTAGGTGGTATAATGGCATGTCTAACAGGAATAATAGTGTGGATATCACTGCCTCTTGTGATTATTGGTATATTCCTGTAAATAAACCAGTAGCTGTTAGTAAAGTCAGTAATCTTCAAGGGAAGTACAGAGTATGTAAATTATGATATCCAACCCACACATCTGAAAATGACGAAACAACTAAATTTTGGCCTGTCCTAGACCATTATCAAGTCATATAATGGGAAGACAGTGTCAAGTCTACAGACACAAACAATACTCTCTTCTATCATGTTAGGGACTCCAATCATTCTATAGATCGATTGTCTTCTAAAATAATCTTTCCTGCCCCCTACTCTTCACAGACACCATCTTGTCAAATTGACTCTGATACATAATATACCAAACATGAATCTTAGTCCTGGCTTTGTTGCAGTTGACGCTTCCCTTTCTCAGTTCAGTACATTTTTAAATTCTCTAATCCTCTTAAGAAACATGATCTGACTTAGCGTTGCCCCTTCTAAGCTGTCTTTCCTTTCTGTGTCTTTCATTACTATATTTTTTTTCTTTGACATTTGGCCTCTTGCAGATTTCTTTTATTTATTTTTTACCTCTCAATTTTTCTAACTTTTTTCTTATACCCTTTTCCTATTCTTCTTCCTTTTTCCTTCCCTTCTAAACTTTCCTTATTTTACCCGATTCTCTTTACTCTTACCGTTTATCTTATTCTTACGTTTCTTCTTATTCTTATCTTCCTTTTTCTCTTTCACCCTCTCACCTTTCATCTCACTCTCATCCCTTATATTGTTTTCTCTTCCACTGTCTTTCCATTACACGACTTGATACAGTAATGGTCCAAGACAGACCGAAATGTCGTCACTTCTTCATTTTGAGATGTGTGGGTTGGATATTAACTCTTCAACCACATTATTGCGACACATCGTCTGCTTATGTAATACCACTGGCAAGGAACATGATATACTGTATAAAGGAAGATGTTTAAAAAGGGGAGCAATGCCTACGGATTACCACTGAGTTTAGGCTAAGTTTAAGTTATGTGATTGCCTTTGTAATTGTCTTACAAGTGGCGTGAAGACCGCCCCAGTAGTCTGCCATACGGGGGGAGTGTTAAGTACCACCCATGGCAGTAGTATTGTATCTAGTTGTGGAGTAGTCTCAGGTGGATAGTGTTTTATTTTTGATTTTTATAGAAAGCTGCCTTTTGATGCAAGTAGAAAAACCAAAGATTTTAAATTGTGCCATGCTTCTATGGTCTAGGGCCACAAAATTGTATTTGAATTTTTAATTAGTACTTCTAATTTAAGAATGTACTGTATTGCTTTTATTTATTGTCTCACTTTTGCTGCACACATTAGAGATTTTACTGTGCAAAAAAAGTGTCAAATTTATTTATTTATTTACACGATAATGTAAGCAATATTTCTGCTTAGAAGTCAACCTGCTTCAGTGTACAATATATTTCTAAGTATCATGAGTTTCGCTGTTTACCGAATGATTAATGCTTTGTTGATCACTGCTTCAAATTTTCTACTACACAAATTGATTTTATTCATGTGAATAGTCTCACAGAGATTCCTTTACCTAGTCAAAACATTGGTTATTTTCCCTTTTTCATAAAGCCTGAATTGCTTCCAAGTTACAACATGTAAAATTGAATTTCCAAGTTCCCATGCACATAACAATATATAATTATTATATTGTGCTGCACTAAGTGGCTGCAGACTCAGAATGGTACCTGTATATATAGATGTATTTTCTTTTATAGTTATCCAAAAATCATTTGGAAATCATTGTGAAGCTGTATTAGATTTAATAATACTGTGCATGAAAACTGTACTTTATGTCTCAAAGAATCTCTCCATTCTTTGTGAATGGAAATTTATATTGGCCACTGAACAATTAAGGAAAGGCATGGCTTGATTTGTAACTTTATAAGCATCTAATAATTATGGCATAACAAACAAGAAGTTACAATTAGCCATTAAACATCACATGCTGTTGAAGTAATTGGCAGTTGAACACACTGTTTAAGGCTTTGTGAAAATTCATTCACTTGAAGATACTGGGAAAAAGGGGCCAAAGCTCCTGTGGAGTTGCTCGAGGAAAACTGTGCTGTAATGCTGGTTCTTGGCTACTACTGTCGATACTCTGTGCCACTGATACAGGGCTGAGTATTGGGAAGGGAGAGTAGTAGAGTCAGTATTCAGTGTATGCGGTTATTTATTCTTTTAATGTATATTAAATGTTTCTCAAATAGTCTACCTTTAAAGTAGTAATAATGTAATGTACAGTATTGTCATTACTATTAGTGGTATTCTGCTTCAGCATTTTGCTCCTTGCAGGTATAAAACTTTGTATTTTGTGCTTTCGTTAGAACAGGTGCGGCATATTGTACTTCTTCCAAATTTCGTGTGGCTTCCAATGCATGAGTCATTAATTAATCAAGTGCTATGCAGGTCAACAAAGTTTATGTTTTTTTATGGTGTTATGCTGTGAAGGAGCATATATTCAATACATTAGGCCACGGCCACTTCTACTGACCAGACACATTGTTTGAGATGCATTTTGACTATTGATTATAATATAGGGATTAAAATACTGTAATTTCAGTCATTAATGTGACTTGACTTTCAAGAGCATTTTAAATCATTCATGTTGATTTACTACCTAGGTATTATTTATAGATATAATGCAACCACAACAAAGGTAGCTTGTTGTTTAATGATGTGGAAATGCTAAGGCTATCCTTGGCTAATCGTAACATGTGAAGAATTCCTATGAACCCATATGAAAGACTTCTGATATTTTGAATCTTCATATTTTTTGTTTGTGCCTAAACAATTTGCATTTATTATTTCATCGGTACATGCAAAATTATAAATGGAACCATATATCTTTTGAGCCATTTACAATGCTGTATCTCAAAAATACATGAAACAATAATTCTGCAAGTGAACATTCTTGATCAAAGTCAGAACAAAGAATGGCTAAGAGATTATTTCATCAAAAAATAGGAGCACAAGGTAAAAATGTTGAGCTTAACAGCAATAAACATCATCAGTGTAGGCTTTTGCACCACACTCAGTATCACAGGTGATGCTGGACAAACATTATTATAATAGATCACACAGTAACATCATGTTTGTCATTACTCTAACCACTTCATATCCTCTAGCTTAAAGAAAATGAGTGGTTATTGTTATTTACATTTTTCAGCTGCAAAAAAAAAAAAATAATAAAAAAAATATATTTTCACTGCAAAAAATATGCATCCCAATTGTAGCTTATTAAACTCTAAATGTTACACTTTGTTGCAGTGATATCGTTAATAAATCATAAACATGCTGTGCAAAATTGGTTGATTTTAGGACATTGAATTAGGTGATGTCTAAAAATGTACCCGATTTGTGTTAGCTAAAAATAAATTTTATTATGTAATAAAAGGATACAGTACTGTACTATAACTACTCCAGCCCCTCTATTGCTGGCCAAAGGAAATGCTGTTCTTTGTATATCATGCAGATTATGTTCTTGTTACCATGTCAGTAATTCCAGGCTTATTGGCATGAACCTTTTCCATGAGTTATAGTCAGAGAAACATGAATACTGAAATTAGTATGAATTGATTAAATTTCAAGTTTTTTTTTTTTTTTTTTTTAGGTTTTTGATATGAATTACATTATAAAGTATTTTAACCCTTGGAGAGTGGCTATGGAGAAATGGTCATACCCACCTATGCACAAAAAATATAAAACTTCCACAAAATAATATTTATTATAGATTTATTAATTTATATGCAATATGTAAGAAAAACACAAAAATAAGTGAATATTTAACATTTCGTTGGGTGAAGATGCTCTGCAAGGCTGCATTAGGCACTTGTCAATGCCAGGTGCTTGGCGTTGCTGACGCTCCATGTTTTATGCCTGGATGTTTCACTGATTGTTTTATCACCTGTTTTTCTTTATTTACATCCACAGAGAACTATTAGATCCATATTTGCATCATACATGTAAAACCCAGATAATAATTTGGTTAAATCGTCATATGGTGATGACCGCATTTCCCTGGTACCATGACGATAACCGCATTCATACCATGAAATGGTAGCAGGATTTTTCTTTCATGGGCCAAGGTAAACTCCATTACCTCCACATAGACTTATTATATCCATATTTGCATCATTCATGTAAATACTAGACAATAATTATTTAAATAGTCATGTGATGACTATTCAGTTCCTGTGAATATAGTGAACTGAGTTCCCAGTTCCCTATTCATGACCTCAGTTCCCTAGGGATTATCAGTAGATGATGATTGCAGCCTAAGGGTTAAGGTACAATAATTCGTAGCCCATCTAAGATGGCTGTTTCAGTAAATCAGAATTTATATTCTTGAATATAATTTCCATTATGTAAAACAATTCCTTGGTGAATATGATTCCTTTGATATCACTTGTCTCAAGTCTTTATGCCCTTATATTGGCATCTTTAATCATATCTAGGATTTTTTACTGTTGTGCTAAATAGTCATCCAGGCTTGGCAACTAATTTCGATAAATACTTCCATTATGCATGTTTTTAGACATTTCAACCATGGAGTTGCTCATGTCAGATTTCAGGTTTGGCATCTAAACACAAAGGCACAAAGTGACATGTACCTACATTTAAATTCATTGGAACTTTTTATGGTTTAAGGAAAGACCACTCAATTAGAGACAAAGAAGAGCATCTTCAGGTTTAATCAGACTTGAAGAAGCACTTTGCTGAGCATGACACCTGTAATAAGGTGTTAACCTTGACTGGTATTTTTTTCAACACACTTGCTGGTATTTCCTACCCCTTGTTTTTGATTGAGTGAAAAAGTCAACAGAAATTGTATCAAATTTATCGTTGTAGTGAAAATATTGTTAGTAAAATCCTATATCTTATTTGTGAGAGTTAATTCAACTTTGGGACATTTAGTCCTTGTATTGGCTCTCACATTTTCAGTTCAAAAAATCCCATCAAAAATTATAATATAAAGCAGTAGAATTCTTACACTTTGGTGCTGAACGACACAGTCCCGGTGCTCTGCCTTTGAACCAAAACTCGATCTTACCTTCCTTGTATCACTTACATTTGCACACTTGTAAACACATTAAAGTTGTCACTACTGTGGCAACATGCACATCACTCTTTGACACACTTGTGATGTGATGACCAAACCACACATTAAAAGATGTAGAAACGTCGACATTTTGATCCGTTCTGGACCATTATCAAGTCCTTAAACACGATAATACAGTAGTCCAGGACGGACCAAAACATCGTCGTATCTCCATATTCTGATGTGTGGTATGGTCATCATATCTTCAGCCATGTTATTGTGACTCATTGCCTGCACTTGTGATATATTACCTTAACATATGTAAACACTGGGAGCAATGGTGAATGCCATTTAACTCTGATACATTGTAATCAAGTGTTAGTTTTCAACTTTTGAGTTTATAGTCTAATGACAACAGATGTTGTACTACTGACTTTTGCATGCTAAATCAACAAAAATTAATAATGAATTATTCAATAAGAGAAGAAAGAAGTTAAATGATAGGATAGTCATGTGTTCAGCAGGTTTGGGTGTGTTGCACAATTATCAGGATAGATATGATTTTGTGTGTAATTACCTAAGTGTAGTTACAGGATGAGAGCTACACTCGTGGTGTCCCGTCTTCCCAGCACTCTTTGTCATATATCACTTTGAAACTACTGACAGTTTTGGACTCCACCACCTTTTCATTTAACTTGTTCCAACCATCTACCACTCTGTGTGCATTTTTTGGGAGGTGGGGGCACCTTTATTTCCTTAGCTTGAATCTGCGACCTCTTGTTCTTATGGTTGCCAGTTCCAAGGATTCCTCTTTGTCAATTCAGTGTGTGTGTGTGTACTCGTCTATTTGTGCCTGCAGGATCAAGCATGAGCTCTTGGGCCCCGCCTTTCAAGCAAGGCGGTTGTCTAAAGCAATAACTTTAGGCCTATTTCCCTATCATATTTACTTTTAAAATTATTAATAGAGTTTGCTTCTACAACCTGTTCCTTTAGTCTGTTCTATTTTCCCACTACTCTTAAGCTGAGTGAAAACTAACATCTCTATGATTTACCATATATGAGAGACTAGCTTCCACCCATGCCCCTCTTGTTCTATTGGTATTTATTGTGAATACCTATGTATGTGTGTAATTACCTAAGCGTGGTTACAGAATGAGAGCTACACTTGTGGTAGCACCACTCCATAAAGGAGGAAATTAGGCAGAGGCAAAAAATTACAGACTGATATCACTAACCTCACACATCATAAAAATCTTTGAAAGAGTGCTAAGAAGTAAGATCACAAATTACATGGAATCACAGCATCTCCATAACCCTGAACAACATGGTTTTAGAACAGGGTTATCACAGTTGCTGGACCATTATGACATGGCATTAGATGCAATGGAAGACAAACAAAATGCTGATGTAATTTACACAGATTTTGCAAAAGCCTTCAACAAATGTGACCATGGTGTAATTGCACATTCAAAGGGAATTACTGAAAAAATAGGCAGATGGATCTACAATTTCCCGACTAACAGAACCCAATATGTAATAGTTAACAAAATAAAATCTGGTCCATCAACCGTGAAGAGCTCAGTCCCTCAGAGTACTGTGTTTGCTCCAGTACTTTTTCTCATCCTCATATCAGACATAGACAAGGACACAATCTATAGTACTGTATCATGCTTTGCAGATGACACTAGGATTTTTATGAGAGTAGACAACATAAAGGACACAGCAACCCTCCAATCAGATGTAAACCGGGTTTTTCTATGGGCTACAGAAAATAATATGGTCTGTAACAAAGATAAGTTCCAGCTCCTGCGCTACGGAAAAAAAAATATAAAAACAGAAACCCACGTACAAAACGCAGTCAAATCATAACATAGAACAAAAAAGGCAATGTAAAGGATTTGCATATACTCATGTCGGAAGACCTTACCTTTAAAGAACACAATAAAGTAGCTGTCACATCTGCAAGAAAAATGACAGGTTGGATAACAAGAACCTATCATACGAGATGCTATACCGATAGTGATACTTTCCAAGACGCTAGTGCTCTCTACAGTGGAATACTGCTGCACAATGACAGCCCCTTTCAAAGCTGGAGAAATTGCTGACCTGGAAAGCATGCAGAGATCCTTTCCGACTAGAATCCACTCAGTAAAACATCTAAACTATTGGGACCAACTAAAATGCCTAAATCTTTATTCTCTTGAGCACAGGTGGTAGAGATACATAATTTACATGTGGAAACTAGTAGAGGGGCTGGTCCTAAACCTACACACAGAAATAACACCACATGAGATCAGAAGGCATGGCAGGACGTGCAGAATACCTCCGTTGAAAAGCAGAGGCGCAATAGGTACTCTTGAGAGAGAACTCTATCAACATCAGAGGCCCGAGACTGTTCAACACGCTTCCACTATACATAAGGGGCATAACTGGCCGACCCCTCACAGTGTTCAAGAGAGAACTTGATAAGCACCTTCAAAGGATACCTGATCAACCAGGCTGTAACTCATACATCAGGCTGCGAGCAGCCTCGTCCAACAGCCTGGTTGACCAGTCCAGCAATGAGGAGGCCTGGTCAAGGACCAGGTCAATTTGGTAATTCCTGTTATTATTTTGTAAGTGGTAATCATATCACCTTTTTCTTCTATCTTCTAGTTTTGACACATTTAATGCCTCTAGCCTCTCCTCGTAACTCTTGTTTTTCAGTTCCGGAAGCCATTTTGTAGCATGCCTTTACGCCTTTTCCAATTTATTGATGTGCTTCTTGAGATATGAGCACCATACAACTGCTGCATATTCCAATTTTGGTCTCACAAAAGTCATGAACAGTTTCTTTAGTATTTCACCATCCATGTAATTAAAAGCAAGTCTGAAGTTGGAAAGCGATGCATACACTTTTCTCACAATGTTCTTTATGTATTCCTCTGGCGACAGTTTACTATCCAAAACCACCCCTAAATCTCATTCTTTAAAGTTGTGTGATCTATTTTCTCCAATTTCACATTCCATAATATGGCATTTGTTCACACTGAATTCCATTTGCCACATGTTGCTTCAAGCACTTATCTAGATCAATTTGAAGGGCATGACAATCGTCTGCGTCTTCTATTTTGCCCAGTATCTTGGCATCATCTGCAAACAGGTTCATATAATTCTGTATTTCTTCTGGCAGATTGTTATGTAGGCGATGAACATTACTGGTGCAAGAACTGAACCCTGTGGTACTCCACTTGAAACACTCCTCCAGTTAGATACATTGTCTCTGATTACCACCCTCATCTGTCAGAAAATTTTTCAGCCATGTCAGAAGTCTCCTTGTCACCCCTCCAACCTGTTTTCGTTTACAAAATAACCTTTTGTGTGGCACTCTGTCAAAAGCCTTTTATAGGTCCAGATAGACACAATCAACCCAACCATCTCTTTCCTGTATAATCTTTATGACTATCATAAAAACTAAGTAGATTTGTTACACAGGATCTTCCTGTTCGAAAACCATACTGTCTCTGCTATTATGTTATTACAGTGTACTCTCCAGGAATTCTACCCATTTGATTTTAACTATTTTTCTAGTGTTTTGACTATCACGTTTATTAATGAAACGGGTCTATAATTTAGAGGGTCTTCTTGGCTACTATTTTTATAGATTGGAACTATGTTTGCCATTTTCCATATATCTGCTAAGATTCTTGTGCACAAGGATGTCTGGAATATTAATTGGAGTGGAATACTCAGCTCAGTTGCACATTCTCGCAGGACTCAAGGTGAAACTCCTGCTCCAACTGCTTGATTTCTTTCTAGCCTCTTGAGTAATTTTTCCATTTCATCTTGAGATACCTCTGTGTATTCTAAGGTGTACCCTGGAATTGGCATTGGGTCCGGCTCTTTTTAATCCTCATTTTGTACAAACACTCTTTGGAACTGTTCATTTAGTGTTTCACACATTTCTTGTTCATTCTCAGTAAACCTGTTCCCCATTCTCAATCTCTGGATTTTATCTTTTAAATGCAGCTTGCTTTTAATGAATTTATAGAAAAGGCCTCGATCTGTTTTGCATTTGTCCACTACCCCTTTCTTAAAGTTCCTTTCTGCCTCTCTCCTCAATACTGTGTACAATATTTGTTTCTTGCTTGCTTGTAGTGCTGGTATGTTTGAGGGTTAGTGTAAGGGCACAAGATTGGAAGCCATGTATTTAACACTGCTGTTTCTATGTCTCTCCCCTAATTTATATTCTTCACAAGGGTCTCTGTCTTACTTTAGGCCTCTTCCTATATTGTACCCATTTTCTTGTCTTTTCCTCTCTGGCCCTCTCACAATTTATGTAGCACCTATCCTATTTTCTGGTTCTGCATCTCTTTTTATTTTCGTTTGAATTTTTGTGTGCCTTCATCATATACAGTATTTCAAAAAAATTGGCATACATCTCATTTACTTCCTTGCCTAGCAACAAATCTGTCCAATTAAATTCATTCCCCAAAGTGTCCTCTCTTGAAATCAAGTTTATCAACTGTTTCACTGTCTCCATTCTCTTCTAGATTATATTGCAAAGCAAGTTTAATTTCCAACAGGACATGATCACTTTTTCCCAAGGGAGGAAGGTACTGGATGTCAAATATTTCTTCTTCTTCTTTCCTGGTGAATAGTAGATCCAGTATTGATGGAACATTCCCTTCCCTCATTCTTGTGGCCTGCTTGACGTGTTGATACATGAATGTCTCCAGAATGAGGTTTACAAATCAGCTTGTCCAAATGTACTCCGTTCTTGCTTTGTAAGCCTTCCAGTCTATTGCTTTCAAGTTCAAGTCCCCTAGTACCAATAATCGTGATTTATCTTTATCTGCTTTTACTATAATCTGTCTTATGACCATTATGAGGCTCTCTCGTTTGTCATCTAGTTCCTCCTTTTTCCATGTGTTGTTTGATGGGGGTTGTAGGCATTTATGATTATCAGTTAACATCCTGATTCCAAACCTGCAACTGCCATTATGGCAACTTCTCGAGGGTTGACGATTATTAACACTCTTACGTTCAGGTGTTTTTTCAAGAGCACAGCCACTCCACCCTTCCTAGTTTTCCTGTCACATCTCCAAACTAAGTAACCCCTTGGCAATATGACCTCATTTAAAATATTTTCTTCAAGTTTTGTCTGTTAGTGTCTGTACAATATCTGGAACCCTTTAAGTTGACATATCTTTCAGCTCTAGTATTTTTTATCTCACTCCATCTATGTTTTTATATACAATTTTCAGGAACATGTTGCCTTTTCCTTTGTCCTTTACTCACCCTTCCTATAATGATTTTGTTGCTTTGTTTTTATATACCATTTCACTGGCTTTCTAGTCCCTATCACTTTGTAGAAAAAAAAAAGAATTTCTTTCTTCGTCATTTTTATTCACATTTAGATGTTTCGCTTAATCGAGCTTTAGTTTCAGCTTTTCTTTGTCTTCCTTTGAGAGGTCTCATCTTTATGACCAAAGTTTCCCATCCTCATCATTCTGCAGTTTCCTGGCATTTCTAAGCACTTCTGTCATTTGTGTCATTCCATTATATGTCACACTTAAGAGGAGATTCTTGTCTTTCTCATATTTTCCTATCCTACTAAAATCAGTGACATTTTTCTTCGAAGTGAGGCTTTCTCCTAAACCTATTATTTTCTCAATGATTTTCATATCTTCTGCTGCTCTGTCCATTCTACATGATATTTTCTTTTCTAAACACCCAAAAATTATTATGGACTTACTTCTATCTGCAGTGTTTTGTACTAATTTACTGTTGGTGACCAGTTCTTTCCTAATTGCTTCCCTAATCTTGGCTTCTTGTTGGTCATTTCTAATTTTGACTTCCAAACATACTTCCTTGGTCGATTTGTGTGTGTGTGTGGTGTCCCGTCTTCCCCAGTACTCTTTGTCATATAACACTTTGAAACTACTGACAAAGTGTGTGTAGGGGTGGGGGTTGTTAGTTAAAATTTATTTTGTAAATACAGTAGTCACTAAATTTTAGTCTTTCAGAGTTCTGTAGTGTTGCAGATAATCCAATGAATAACTGGTGATAGTGGCCACATCCCCACTCTGGCTGAGTACTGATTGAACAAATTAAGCCAATTTAGTGTCTCCTGATGCTTGAATTATTATTTTGCTCTGCTTACACCAACTGAACCTAACAACAGTTAGCCATTATGCTTTTTTGTATACAATTATGATGCTAATTACTATATTGAAGTTATCTGCAGCAATGTACTTCTCTTCATAAAGTTCCATTTTCTTCAAAGTGTAAAAGATTGCAGTCTGAATGATGCTGGGAAGTGCAAGATAGCAGTACAGTAATTCATATACAGGTATGAATTTTAACTTAGTATTGCTTAACCTCTAGTGCCATTGCAACTAGTATTGCTTGACTACTTGTGTCATTTCATCATAATTTTTTGTTAATTTCAGATGTTGCAATATACCTGCAATCTACTTATGTATTAATATATTTGATTACTTTTACCTCTAGGCATTTTCCATCCTGGAGCGATAGCCATATACAGACTGTCCCTGGAAAGAGTGGCCACATGCAGAATTTTTCCACAAGCATTTTAAATGAACTTAAACACCCACAA